TTGAGCCTGTGGACACTTACTTGCTCCTGGCCCTGGGGGTGAGGCTCCCGTCTGGTTTTGTGAGGGCCCCTGGCCTGGGGGACTTCAAGGCATTAGACAAGGTGTTTGCACCCTGCACAGCCACATCAGGAGAAATCCCTGGCGAGGTTTCCTGACAGGTTCAGGGTCCTGAGGGAACCTCACAGCAAGAGAATCTCTAGCAGACTCCTGGGTTAGGCGGCTGTCAGCGGGGGAACACAAGTCCACGTGGGCCCGGGGGCAAGTGGATAGATGCTCCTGGGCCTGGTGGATGGAGTCCACAATCCAGATTCCGTGTCCCCAGCTCTTCTCCCGCCTCTGGGACCACTGACCTCACACCTTGCTCAGGCTCAGTGCGGGGTCCTCCCCCATCCCCCATCCCCCTGCTCTCAAAATCTGGTGTTGGGGGATGTGTGACTGCTAGCCAAGCCTGGAGCTCCAAAAGACAACTGTGCACCCACCAAAGATAAGCAGAAAGAGCCAGCACTACCACTGAGTTTCTGGGAGCTTTTATGTCTGGCTCTGTGTTTTTTTTTTATGTCCTAAAATGTCTTCAGTGAGCAAGTGTTGTTCTGCAGTTAGCCAGGAACATTAGTGCAGTTTTGAAGAAATAGTGGACAGGTCCTCAGAGTGTGATGGTTTGACTCTGTGGGTTACAGGTGTAGGCTAGAATCAGGACAGACTTGGGATTTAAGGAGGCAGTCACAGTTGGGGCCAACCTCACACTGGTACCCCCCCCAGAGCAAGTTCCCCCAAAACTTCTCTCTAGTTCCACTGAACTCGGTTGCGAGAGGGCCAGGCCAGGCTTCTGCCTTGGGGACCCCCCAGGACAGCAGGACGACTGCGTGGTTCCAGTGAAGGATGAGAAAGGTCAAGCCCTCCCATCTTTGGAGGATGAAAGTCAGAGATGACATCTGATGGCTGGGGCTGTGCTGGGAACAGAACCCCGAGTTCACACAGCTCTCTGCAAGAACCTGGGGAGGAAGGGCACGTTCCCACTTGCTCATGTTCGCTGACACACACACACGTGCACACACACTCTCACACACATGGACACAACACTTACACACACACTCACACTCAGTCACATGTGCTCACACACACGTGCTCACAGACACAACACATGAGCACAGGCCCACCTGCACCTCTTCAGCACCTTCTCCTGAGCACATGCGTCAGGAGAACCTAGTCAAGGCCTATTTCTGGGCTAGATTTGGGTCCACTTGGGGGCTTGTAGGGAGCAGGGCTGCCCCAGAGCCCAGCATACCCATAGGCACACAGTGGTGCCCACTACATGCACCAAGAAAGGGACTGTTTCTCCAGACATGGTGGGGGTGGTTGGTCTACACAGGTCCCAGCCAGGCCGCTCAAGTGTGTCGCCTGGGCGGCTCTGTGAGGTGCTTAGGCCTAGGCCCCACCCCAGAGAGCAGGTGCTTGTGGGTCTGGGCTAGAGCCAACCACAGGCAGACCTTTGGGTCCGTGTCCCCCAACGAGGCCGTGCTTACTTGGGGCCCCTGCCTTGCTGCTTCTTTGCATCCTTCACCCTGGGCCAGTTTGTACCTGGTCTGGGAGACTGGGGGTTAACATGAGGCCCCACCACTGCTGGGCATTACATTTCAAAAAAAAAAAAAAAAAAACAAAAACAAAACACCCCCCCCCACACACACAACTCTACGGGCAAAAAAAGAGGGGAAAAAAATTTTTTTTTCAGGTGCTAAAAATATTATCAGGAAATACTTTTCAGCAATGTGCCGTTTTAGGTTCCCCTCTGGACTCAAGGGCGCCTTTGTCTCTGCCACAGAAAGTCCACATTTATCAAAACCAAAATCGTTTTATCAAGCAGGCTCATGTTCCGCGGCCAGGAAATCTGAGCCTCCCCAACAGACCTGTGACATTTTAGTTTAGGGCCTGAGTATGTTTGCATTTTCGATGGGCGAGCCCCAGAGCTGACCCCAGGGATACCCTAGGACTTGGGGCTCCATTCAGGGCAAGGTGGGGAGTCTCCCTCCCCACAACACACCTGGCCTGGTTGGCTAGTCCCTGCAGGGCTGGGGTAGGGACCCTGAACAGGGCTCCGAGTGGGGCTGTAGTGGCAAAGCCTGGCTGGCTAAACCTCCCAGAGCTCTCTCCAGGGGCAGCTGGCTGAGCATAATCTCCCCCAGAGCAGCTGATTCTTCCACGCATGTGAAACCAGCAGCCCCAGCCCCAGGTAACCGCCCTCCCACCTGCTCCAGGAACGAGGCTAGGAGGTTATAGGGCCCGGAGGGGCGGGTTGAGTACATCTTGCGTGGACCTGGTTATTACACTGTGAGGCTGGATGGAGTCTTGACACAGCTGGTCCACTGAGGCAGAGATGAACACACGTGGCTCAGGGTGCACAGCACCCTCCCATGAAGGGACAGTCCTTGAGTCCTGGGCCCACTTGGCTTCTCCCCTAATGTGCGGCAAGGCGTGCCGCCTCCATGGAGCCCCCACACAGCCGGACGGGACTTCTGCTCTTGATCTTAGGGAAATGACCAGAATGGGGTTCAACATTTACTTCCCGGGATGCTCACTGCTGCTTTATTTTAGAAAGAAACAGAGAGGAATTAGAAACACTTTGAGCTGGAGAATCAGCAGGGGGAGGCCAAAAATGATTACAGGTGGGCTCAGGTTTGGGCTCTCTCTTCCCTTCAGGTGACGAGAGACACCTTGTATCGCCAACAGGCAGCCTCATCGTCTCCCCCCGCCCCTCCCCCCCACCCCCCGGCCCACAGGGCGGACTCCACTTCCTGACTGTTCCACAGCTGCCAGGGACGGCCGCCACAAAAGGGCACTTAGGTGGCCAGTCCCTTCGCTGGGAGGTTCGGCAGCTGATGAAATCATGCTTCTGTGGCATTTTTAATGACGTGGGAAAAAACGAATGGTAAAATGTCAACTAAGAGTCTTTAGAAGGAGTATCCGATGTAGCGTACACAGCATAAATGGCCTGCCCACGTGCCGGAAGAAGGAAAGGCCCAGATTTTAGGATCTGCACTGATGGGTTATGGGTGGTGGTGGTTTTCTTTTTATACGTTTTTTTCCTTAAAAATTTTTTTGCAGTTATTTGAAAAATACCAATGTTTTAGAAACCTGAATATCAATGACTCTGGTTCCAGCTGGCCTCCTTGGTCCTGTGGCCCATTTCCTGCTCCAGCTGTGGCCCAATGGAAGCCTCAGCCTCCCTCAAAGGCCAGGGCGCTGCGGGGGGCCAGGGCCTGTCTCCTCAGGGTGCTCTTTCACCCTCTCCTGCCTGGTCCATGCTGTGGGAACCACAGCCTTCCTTGGGCTCCCGGAGTGGCGCTTTCTCTACGGCTCTCCTGGTCCCTGCCTTCATTCACCCCCACCCCGCTGTGGGCATGGGGCCAGTTCTCTGACGCCCGGGAAGGCTGTAGCTCCAGACGCCTGGCGATGCCTGGCGGTCCCCACCCACAGGGGCTCCAGGGTGATGGTGCCGCCCCCAGGTGCCGAGAGCTCATATGGTGCCAATCTGGGCAGCACCTCCTAGAGGACTCACCATGCCCCTCTGGGGTGGAGTTGCCCCATTTTACAGGAAACTGAGACTAGAGAGCCTGTCCAGGATTGCACAGCTGCAGGGTGCAGAGCTAGGACTGCTCCAAGGCTGATGACCCCCAGACGGATGCTGGGGCTGCTGGGCCTCTTCCAGGCTGGAGGCCTCCACGCAGCGTGGCCAAGGAAGAAGCTGTGAGCCTTTCCCCTCCGATTCCAGGGAGGGCATATGGGCAGCTGTCCGGCCCCACCCCTGCCCGCTCGGCCTGGCCCCCGCCCCAGGACCTCACCTCCAGGAGGGCGGGGTGGGTGGTGTGTGTGAGGGCAGGAGGATGCCCAGCAGGGCTCCAGCACCCCAGGCAGTGGGCCTCACCTTGCTCGGTGCCCTCAGCCCATCTCCGTCCTCCAGCCAACAGGACGCTGGGCCTGCAGCCTCACTGACCACATGGACATGGGGCTTCTGGGCTTCACCTGACCTCTTGCTGACTGCCCTGTGGCCTTGGTTCAGAAGCAAGGCCTTGTGGAGGCCCCGTCTCCTCCTCATCTGTCAACAGGTGCCCCAGGGAGCTTCTGGAGGGACAGAGGTAGTAATAAACGTGCCGCTTACAAAGCAAGAGAGGCCGTTGGGAGAGGAAAGCAAGTCACTCTGCCCAGTGTTAATGGGGGAATGAGTAAAAGCGCCAACAGGTGAACCCCACAGAGGCCCAAGATGGCTGCCTCGGCCTCTGCAGCAACCGGAGCTGGGTTCCCGCAGGGATTTTCCCAGAGTTTATTGGCTGGAGAAGTGGGAGGCTCTGTCAGGGCTCTAACTTTCACAGGCCAGCGCTTCTTGTGGCCAGTGAGTCACGGGGACTTGCTTCTGAGTCACTTCCAGCCACCTGCCATGGGGATGGGCCCGCAGTTCCTGCATACGGAAGGTCCTGCGGCCTCTGGATGGAGGGAAGTGGTGGCCGGGCCTTGTAGGACATTATGTTTTTGGCTCCGGTTGGTGGAAATATTTTCCACGTGTTTCCCCGTGTTTATAGAGCTGAGGGCATGGAATGCAGCCTGTGGCCACGGAAGCTGGCCGGATGGGGCCTGGCGACCAGGGTCTGCCCAGATCCGTGCGTCCGAGCAGAAGCAGTGCCAGGCTGGGTGCGGGCTTGGCGGGGGGGTGCTCCCTGCAGCGGGGGGCGGGGGAGGCCCCGCAGAGGAGGGTCCTGGAGCAGTGTCCCATGGGCTGGGGGGAGCTCTGTGCTCAGTGGAGTTGCAGGGCGCCTGCTGACACAGGGTCCCTGGGGCAGGAGTGGTGGGCTCCCGGCTGTGACTGAACAGCCCGGGGTCTCTGTTCTTCTGGCGGGGGCTCTGCTGGCCCTGGCGGCTCTCAGCTGTGGTGGGCTGTGGTGGGCAGGCCGCTCGGGGGCATTTGGCAGCAGGGCTCACTTTTTGGCCCGGGAGGCCTGGCCGAGGCAGGCTTATTGCTGCCGAGGCACCTCCTGGTCCAGCTGCTTCTTCAGACTGGCCACCTGGGGACGGGGCAGGAGCTCAGGTCGGGTGGGCAGACCCCGCAGCCCGGGCCCCCAGGCACGGGGTTGTGCGGAGCTCTGTGGCTCCTGAGGAGAGGGGCATGTGTGGGAGAGAAACATCGGGCAGGCAGATGGGCTCACCGGCTGCCAGAGAGGGACGCCACCCACACGAGCAGGTCCTGGGGACTGAGGCCATTGCGTGCCTGCAGTGGACAGACCGCCTTCCATTCAGGCCACAAAAGCCATATCAGGATGATAAGGAAATACGTGCTCTTTGGCTTCTAAGTTTGGCACATGGGTCTCGGTGGGTTAGGGACGCTAACTTGGGGGTGACACTGGGTGGTCACTTTACCTTTCTGAGTCTGTTTCCCCAGCTGTAAAATGAAGGTTTTGACCCGAGGGCTCCCAGTTGTCTGACGGCTCAGAGCCCAAGGGTCAGCTCCAGCAGGTGTGTGAGGGGAGGGCTGGGGGGGGGGGGAGGGCAGGGCAGGTCCATGTCCAAGGCCACTGTTCTCCCCTCCTGACTCTGAAGGACAGGTGCAGGGACCACCTCTGCTCCAACAGCTATGTGCCAGGCACTACTGGACACAGTGACCCCTGACCCAGGAACTGTCCCCACCACTCCCCTTAAGGACACAGAGAGAGTGGTGACCTGGCCCAGGATCCTCGCTCCGCCCCTCAGTGAGTGGTGGGAGTGACCGGATGGAAGTGGAGAGTGGTCCTAGTTTCTGCTTGGCTGCACCGGGGGGTTCCGGTGGCTTCACAGCCTGACTCTTGCCCCAGCTCCTCGTGCCAAGTCCTTGTGCGGAGGTAGGGGTCTGCCAGCAGGGGAAGGGGAGACGTCCCCACCCCACACAGGGGTGGCCCCTGGACTTGCCCACAGGCCTGCCTGACCCGGTGCTTCCCACACGTCTCCCTCTTCTGGTCCGTGCCTGGCTCACGAGGTCCCTCGACCGTGCTACCACCCCCATGGGGCCTCGGAGAGACCAGGAGAGGTCCATTAGCCCTGGGTCCTGGTTCCCCCTCTGCCTGTGACTTGAGGTGTGACCCTGGTAGACCCCACTGTCGTCTGGGGCCGAGCAGTGTAGGAACGGTCCAGCCCGTCCTTCCCATCTGCGTAGGCACACTCGTGGGGCTGTGTGCAGCACCCTTCTGAGACCCACTGCACCTGGACACTCCCTGCCCCTGGCCCACCCCCCAGCCCGGGGCGCAGGAAGCTCCGCCGGCCCAGCTGACCTGCAGCTGTGGGTTCGACCTCAGGGCCCTGTCTTCGTCCTGCTGCGGTCATTCCTTCTTGGCCCCTGGCCGGGCCGGGTCCCTGTCCTTCCTCAGCATCCCCTGCTCCATCTGCAAGAGCCCAGACGGCAGAACTTGCGGTGGCCTTCTGGTAGGCGTGTGGTGTCAGGCCAGCCACCACTCTGGGAAGCACTTGGAGGGCTCTGGAAAGGGCTCTGGGTCCCCTGAGAGCAGGCTGGGGCGGGGGGAGGCCCTGCAGCCAGGGAGGCGGCTGAAGGAGGGGCACAGGGTGGCCTGGCTCTGGCATCCCCCTGCCTCACGGAGCCTTGGTCCCCTGCACTCAGCTCTCAGTCCCTGCCCACTCACTGGCCCCCATCCCAGCAAGTCTGTGTGCCCACCATCTGTCTTCCTTGGAGCTGCAAGTTGCCCAAGCAGAGCCCCTTCCTGGTGACCCTCCCCACCACGCCAGTCACGGGGCAGGGGGTTAAGTATCATGTGACCGAGGAAGCAAACACTTTCAACGGGAAGCCTGGTAGGGGCTCCTTTTGTCCCTTGTGGGGGGACAAAGGAAGGAGGAAGGAACTGACGCCCCAGGTCATGCCTTGTGGGTGCTTGACAAGGATGGTCTCCTTCCGGAAGTCCCTGGGCCGGTAATGGGCCTGTCAGCAGCTGGGGCAGGATCAGAACCCAGGCCCTTCTCCGACCAGGCTCCCTCCTCTGCCCTGCTGTGCCCACCCCATGGGTGCCTCCAGGCCAGCCCTCCGTTCCGTGTCCTCCCGGGGCTGGTCCCGCAGAGCCCGGAGCCATGGTGGCCCTGTCTTGCCGGGAAAGTTATGTAGTCAGTGATAGGAGGGTAGCGTTACAAAAATAAGGACTCCTTTCTTCTTCAGGGTGAGAAAAACAAAGAGTTCACTTCCACTGAGAAAGGAAGTCCTGTTTCTTTAAAAATCCAGCTACACTCCTGGAAGTGCATGTTAAAAAGAGAAGAGAAAAGTGAAATCCAAAATAAATAAACGGCCACATCCGGGTTTCCCCTCCTGAGACACCAATAAAGGGTTTATGGGTTTGGGGGCCCCTCACAGCTGACCTCCTGGAACTCATTAGCTGGTCCTCCCCTCCCCGACCTGTGCTGCGGGGGGGGCCCCCAGCTGGCTCTGCTGCCCTGGGCCGTGCCTCTGGGGCTGGGCCACTGCTCCCAGCAAAGGCCATGGAGGAGCAGTGTTCCCGGGACCAGAGGGGCTGGCCGACCCTCCTTCCTGGGAGGGCAGGTGGCTCTGCAGGGACTGGCTGGCCAGTGGCTTTCAGTGACTTCCCGACCTGCTGGCCTCTGTGCCTGCATCCCACCCCCGACCCTGTTCCCAGGCCCTCTGCCCCCACTGCCACCCCAGACCTGGCCACACCCCTCTGGAAAAGCCGCTTGTCCCCGGAGTCCATGTCAGCTGGACAGTGTGTGTCTGGTGGCTGGGGCCTGCCCCAGGACACATGTCCATGCGTGCTTGGGGACACTCCTCTGGCGGTTCCAGGCCCAGCAGTGCCCTCGCCTGGTGGGGCCTCACTGCTCTCCTGCGGGCTGTGCTGGCCGGTCCTTGTAGGAGAGAGGCTGGAGGCTGAAGGCAGCCGTCACTCTCCCGGGACCTGGCTGCTCCTTGCTCTTTCCTGCTCCTGCTGTGGCCAGTGGCCTCTGTCTTCCACTCCTCACTGGTGTCCATGTGCCGCACTGGCACCTCCGTCCTCCAAAGTCTGTGAGCTCTGGGCACCCACCTCCTTGTCATTCATTCCATAGGCTACGACTCGGCGTGGTGAGGCCACGCCTGGGATGTCTGGTCCCCTGGCCCCTCTGCCCTTGGGCCACAGCGCCCAGACGAGTGTGCCCCGCATAAAGCCGGTCTTTGCAGGTCTCGGTGAGCAGGGGATGCCGTGGCCAGCTCGGGGATCTCCCGGATCTGAGGCGGCCTCTGACAGGCCCTGGCTGGACGCTGCTGCCCGGGGCAGCCATGAGCAAGGAATGCCCTCCCTTCTGGGTCTGGTTCCCTTTACACAGGTGAGCCCACGTTGGCACACCTCTCTCACACCTTGCCGGGGCCAGCGCTGCGGTAGGAGGGGCTGCGCCATCCGCAGACCCCTGTGCCGCTCCCTTGCCTGCTCCCCGCACACAGCTTCCGGCCCCTGCTCAAGGGGACAGACGATGAGGGTCTCTGCCCAGATGGGGTCCAGGCATGCTCACTGAGGTTCTTGGTCATGGCCAGCCAGGCTGCCAGGGTGGCAGGACACATCCATATCCTCATCTCAGCGAAGCCTTGGGAAGACCGCCCTGCTCTGGGGACCATGGCTGAGGCCCTCAGCAAGCCCCAACGCCAGGACTTCTTTCTCACTTTGTGGACGGGGTCACTGAGCGGGAAGGGTCCGATGCCTCGGACGCCAGGTTGTCGGCCCAGCAAAGGCCATCCCCAACCTCCCCTATTGCCTCCATATTCCTGGCTCTAGTCCCCACCCTGCCTGCCCCTGGAGGGGGCTGTGAGGGCGTCAGAACCCCAGGGTCCACAACGTGGCTGGCACCCTGGGGCAGGTGGCGGGTGGGCCTGCCACACACCCTGGTCCCTGTTCCTGTTCCTGTGGGGCTGAGGCAGCCCCTCCAGGACAAGGGAGCTGCCTCTTGGGCAATGTGAGGGGGAGGCCCCGCTGCAAGGCGGGCACCTGCAGGCTGGGCCCACAGAGCCCTAAGTGGGGGTGGGGCCTGGGTGACGTTCTGCCTGGTTCCAGGGACACCATTTCCTTTCTCTGGGCCCCAGGAAGATGCTCTGGCGACCCTCACCCCCAATTTCAACCCGAATAGCTTCACTTTGACCTGTTTCATACATGGGGACAGTGTGGCTGTCACAATCCCTGGCCAGTGGGCCCCTGGGATGGGCCCGGCCCCTCGGCCTCGCTGCCGTTCCTTTTCCTTCTGCAGGTCTGGGGGCCGGCTCGCTGTCCTGCCTCCCCTTTACCACGGGTGCCTTCCTGGTCTCCCAATGTGTAGGCCTATGTGTACCCCACCTGTTACCCTGGTCCAGTCAGTAGGGCCCTGACCCGGGGCCATTTCCAACATGGACAACAGAATCGGGGGCTCCACAGGTAGGCAGTGTGTCAGGCCACAGAGCTCCCTGCAGGACTGTGGCTCAGATACTGGGGCAAAGCCGGGGCGATTTGCTATGACCTGCGGTGCCTCCCCAAGGAGAGCGAAGGTGGGGTATGACCACGAGGGAGGGGGGTGCGGAGGGTCACCCTCCAGCGCCAGGGCGGCCCTGGGCTTGGAGAGGGGTGCGCAACTGCAGAGCAAGCGCTTTCCCAATCACCAGGTGCCTGTGCCTCGCCTCCCGCTGCCGGCCCAGCCGGGACCCGCTCGGACGCTCCCTTTCCCCGCCCCTTTCCCCGCCCCCTGGAGCCGCGGGCGGGCCCGCCCACCAGCCCCGCGCCCCGCGCGCGCAGCCCCGCGAGCTCCCCCTGCAGTCCGCTCCCGCGGGGCGCGCCTCCCTGCGCTCTGCGCCCCGCCACCGCTGCGGGTGCAGAGCGCCTGGGCCGGGCCTCCAGGCTCCGCTGATTGCCCCTGAGCTGCGCGTCCACAGCCGACCCTCTGTCGTAGGGGCGCTTACTGCGGAGAGGCCTCGGGCCTCTGACTCGCTCCCGCCTCAGTTTCCCCGTGTGTCTGGGTGGCTCCAGGTGTGAACCCCTGCCTCGGGCATCTCCCAGAGCCTCCCTTCAGGCCGCCAAGGGACCGATGATTCCCTAAAGGGAATGCCCCGCCCTCTGGGGCCCCTCACCTGCGGCAAGGGCTCCTGGCATCTGCGCTGCAGGCGGGCGACGTGCTCCTCCAGCAGCTTCGCTCTCTGGGCCAGGCTCTGGCCGTGCCTTCTGCTCTCATCCAGTGCCCTGTGCAGCGCGTCCAGTTGCTCCTAGGGAGAGGAAGGAGAGGGTCTCTTGGAAACACGGCTCCCTGGGAAGGAGAAGCCCAGGGCGTCGGCTTGGGCCCTGCTGCAGGTCGCTGGGAAGAGGCAAGAACAGGCCAAGTACAACGTGCACCCATCAGGCAGTTTCGGGTGGAACCATGGTGGGGAGGGGGCTGGGGTGCAGAACTTGCTGCAAGGCTCCACTTGGCAGGTCCTCTGCTGTGGTCAGAGAGGCCTCAGAGGACACACCTGGTATCGCTCCCCTGCTTCCAGCCCTTGGAACGAACATGACAGTCCTCCTGACCCCATGGAGCCTGTTGAGCTGAGCCCCTGTGCCCCCCTCCCCCTGCCTTCTGCCTCTGAGATCTACCACCACGTGCCTCCCCAGCCTCAGCCCTTCTGACCCTGCTGTGTCACAGCCCAGGAGCGTCCAGCCCAGGACACTGTCCCCTGCCCCACAGACCCCAACAGCCCAGGCAGCTGGGAAGGCTCACGGCCCTTTCTCCTCCCTCCACACCCACTCACACACCCCTGCCCCATCCTTGGCCCTTCTACCTCAGCCCACCGAAACCATCATCATTTGCTTGGGCACCTGTGACACCCTCACCTTTCTGTCTCTGGACAGGCTCCACAGGGTGGCCTGAGCACACATGTTAGTCTATATGTGGGGTGGGCACACTATGTGTACCCCACCTGTTACCCTGGTCCAGTCAGTAGGGCCCTGACCCGGGGCCATTTCCAACATGGACAGCAGAATCGGGGGCTCCAGAGGTAGGCAGTGTGTCAGGCCACAGAGCTCCCTGCAGGGCTGTGGCTCAGATACTGGGGCAAAGCCGGGGCGATTTGCTATGACCCGCGGTGCCTCCCCAAGGAGAGCAAAGGTGGGGTATCACCACCTCCCCATGGCCCTCAGGATGAAAACTATCTAGGGAACATGGCTACCCCTTCAAACCACTGCCCTGCTCACTCTCGAATGACAGCCCCTTGCTGCTCCTTGCCTGGAGCACTGCCCAATGTCCTCTCAGCCCGGGGCCCCGCTGTGCTGGCTTCCCCGCAGGGATGCTTGGCCTTCTTTTGGCCAACCTCCCTGCTCTGCTGCAGCTGTCACCCCTGCTCTGAGCTTTCCCCAGGAGGACAGCGCCTGTTGTGTGTCCTGGGCCCTGGAGTGGGCCCACGGTGGGCCTGGAGAAGTCCTATGAGCAGACAAGCACAAACAAGCCTACAGGAGTCACCTGGGGAACTCGCCTGTGATGCCACATGGCTTTGTAAGACCAGGCCAATTTCCGGGTATTGAAGCTTTCCAAGTGTTTCGTGGGGGAAGTGGCCAGTGCCTCTTGTACCTTGGACTCTGGAAACTCAGGGGTCACACCTGCTGGTGCTTCGATGGCTAAGTGGGAAGACAGAGGTGTGGCGCTAGGGGGAGTCCTGTAGTTTTCTACACGGGAGCCGGTGGTCACTTGGGCTCAAGGGGGCAAGAAGTGGAAGAACATGACTTGGACTTCAGAGGCAGCCTGGAGGGGCCGTGTGGGGGCTGAGGAGCAGGCGGTGTGCCAAGGACTCCCAGGCCTCTACTGCTGCGGTGGTCCAGGACCCACTTACCGATCTGGGAAGGTGGGCAGGGGGGAGCCTTTGGGGGTGGACGTTCAGAGTTCAGTCTTGAGGGGTTCTGCCTAGGAGTCACTGGATGTGGGGGACAGTGTCACAGAACCAGGTGGCTCTGGAGGCCCAGGGCACTGAGGGCCAGGGGAGGGGGGAGGCTGACCTGGTGAGAGGCCAGAAGGGGAGAGAACAGGTCCCGGGTCAAGGGATGTTAGAGCAGAGGGGGGAGGAGGAAACGGCGGCCTAGGGAGGACCAGAGGGCTGGCAGAAGTCAGGACGGAGAGGTTAATCCCCTCTGTGGAATGCCCCAAGAGGTCGGGCAGACACAGACCCAAAGGAGACCCTTTGGATGGGACCAAATGTTGCTGATGACCTTTGCACGTGCACGTGCGCGTGCGTGCGTGCGTGCGTGTGTGTGTGAGGGTGGAGGGAAGGGCGGCTCTTCCCAGAAGTCTGGCTGGGAGAGGGGAGACAGGGCCAGCAGCGAGGGGAGGGGGAGGGGCTGCAAGAGGTGCTTGTTTAGGAAGAGGGAGACCAGGCACGGAGCCAGAGGGGAAAGCCAGAAGGCACAGGGACCCCCTGATGAGCCTTGCAGGTACCAGCCCTCAAGTCACAGGTGCCCGTCTGGGCTGGCGAACATAGCCGTGTGTCTGGGGGGCCTTCCCATCCCATATCCCTCATCAGTCGTCCCCAGTGCTGGCGTGGCCGTAGCCCTGTTTGTGGAGGAGGCGGATTCAGAGGAGGCAGGAGAGTGACCCCCTGGCGGAGGGAGCCAGTGGGCTGAGCCTGGACGTGCTTCCTTTTGTCTGATGCTTTAGTACTTCAGAAATGGACGGTGGGGAGGCCAGTGCTTGTGCCTAAAATGGCAAGGTTTCAGCCTTCCCTGCAAGTTTGGAAACTACCATTTTCTGTTTGCGCACATTTCCAGGAGAAAAGCAGAGGTTTCCTTCAAATATGGCTTAAATATTTCATGGTATTTTAAAGAGGCCCAAACCACTTATGTGAAGCATTATGCTCCTCTTGTAATGACTCAACTTTTATGGAATTAAAACTAACCGTAATAATTGAATGGTGCACCCTTTGTGAACATTGCCTGCTGCGCCACTGAGTTCTCCTTTCTCGTGTCTTTGTGGTTCTGTGGTTCTGAGTCCTGTTGCTGCACGAGATGTGGGCTAGGCCAGCAAGCCTCGAAAACCCTGGTTCAGTCTGAGGGTCCAGGTAGCCTCAGGAAAGTGGGAACTGTAGCCCCATGCAGGGTCCTGCCCTCTGGGAGCCCTTGGGCCAGTCCCAGGAGAGCCCAGCGCCAGGCAGCGCTCGGATGTAAGGGGGACTCGGTCCCCTGGACGGGGGAGCCCAGGGTCTGGGTCCGAACACCTCTGGACTCTGCCCTGTGTGCCTGCCGGTTTGTCCATCCTTGTGCCAGCCCCTCCTGCTTTGACCATACCAGCCTTATCATCAGCTTTACTATTGTTTTTCAAAATTTCCATTAAAAATCTCAAACATATACTCTTCTCCATAAACTTTGTGATCAGCGTGCCCTGCTTCCCTCCAAACATATCGTAAAAAAATAGACAAAACCAAACCAAACAAGTGAACAATCAACCAACAACCTACAAACGAGGAACATACACACGGATCCATCCAGAAGCTGATCGAAAGATCCTAACTGCCCCAGAGCCTCACCCTCTCACCAGGAAAACTAGATGCAGCAACAGAAAGAGACCCAAACATGTCATCGTTCTTTTAAATAACCCTTTCATTAAGAAGGTAAAACGGAAACTCCTAGAAAACTGGTAAAAAGAAAAAGAATTCATGTCAGAAATCAATGGCACGCACACCAAACCACAAGCGGGGAGAATGGGACAACATGAAATGCTCTATTGAGAGAGAAAGCACGTAAATCCGTCACTTACTAAGTTTAAGAAATGAGGAAAATCACAACAGTATTAATATAAGCCAAAATGAATCACTGCAGGTAAAAAAAAATGAGAAAAGAGGGTTCTGGCAGGTTTCCATGCGAGGATGGAAATGATTCTTTGAAAAGACCAATAAAACAGATGAACTGTTGGTGGGTTGAATTAAGAGAAACGAGCAGAAGTCTCCAACACCACGAAACAGACGCGGCCACAGATAGATAGGATGGAACCTCGGGTGTAAGTTCCAGCTCCAGGTAGAACTCCGATGTAAATAAAATGTGAAACAAACAACACGTGCGGGGCCTCGGCGATGCCTTTAAAATTAGGAGTGGAAGGCCAGCAGATGGGGCAAAGGTGGGGGGGGGGCAGGGAGCGACTGTGGCCAAGAGGATGGAGGTGCGGGCCAGTCCCGCACAATCTTCCAGGGCGGCTGAGCTGGGCTGGGCAGTGTCCCGCAGGGGACAGAAAAGGAGGGGAAGCCCACCAGTCCACTGTATGAAGAGAAAATAATCAGAACACCCAAACTCTGAGGAATTTGGTGCCCTGCAGGGCGCGGGGCGTCGTGTCCGGCCGGGTGGACCCTGCCCACCTGTGTGGCCTGCCTTGCCCAGTCTGCCAGCCCAGCAGCTTCTGGAACCGGGCTGACGCTCAGCTGGGGCCCTGGGAGGAGGGTGCTGGAGAAGAGGAGGGGCGGGTGCAGAGCCGCGGGGTGGCTCTGGCCGGTTTGGTTGGTGCCACGAGGACCCCTCTCGCCCCTCTGACGGGAGGACCCCCCACCCACGGCTGCCTCTCCCGGGGGTGTGTGTGGGCCCGCGCCCCCCACTTGCCCGGAGGCCACCAGCTGCCCGCAGGACCCCCCGCGTGCAGTGTGGGGCGCGTGTCCTGACGCTCTGGGCCCGTTCTGCATTGTTGATCTACTGAATTCCCAGGGTAGCCCTGGAAACGGGGAGGGATTTGCTCTCAAACAAGAATCTTACTGTTTGCATAGCACAGCCTACCATTTAATTAGAAAAATATGTTTTTAATTAACTTTCTCTTGACAAACACATTGGCTCATGTGAAACGGGGGTTGGGGGGGGAAGAACCCGGTCCGTGAAAGTGAAAGCAGTCCTGTCAGACGCAGACCTCGCTCTAGCACACCCTGGCGGCCTGGCCTGCTGACCTGCTGAGGGCCGTGGGGGCAGGGAGTGCGGCCGCGGGGCCTGAGCCCCTCGCCCCCTGCACACACTGCTGCTTGGATCTGCTCTTCTTCGGAAAGGCCTGGGGCCTCTGGGCCTCCGGTGGGTCTGAATCCCCCTCCCAGGTGCCCACCTCAATGGCCAACAGGTTACAAAAATTGGGAAAAACCTTCCTCAGGGCTGGAGACCAGAGACTTTGGAGGTTCCCACAAGATGGAGGCAGACGGAACCAAGTGGCCTAAAAATAGGAGAATTACCAGAATTCTAGGAACAACTTGACATGATGCTGATAGATTTTGGCACCCACACTTCACTGAAAAATTGAGTCAATTCTTAAGGAGAAAAATGAACATGGATAGAGAAGATCTGAACAACGTCCGAGCCCTCTGCACCCATGTGAGGAAGCCTCGCATGGAAACCTGCCAGAACCCTCGGGACGCTGACGCAGAGCCCGGGCTGGAGGGGAGGCCTCCAAGGCCCCCAGTCCCCTGGCAGGCAAGTGCTGGAGAAGAGGAGCTCGGGACGCCCCCCACCACAGCCAGCCATGCCCCTGAGAACAGGGCCTTCACCCTCCCGGTCCCTGGAACAGGAAACTTCTGGGACCGCTCTGTGCTGCGTCCTCCTTGGTCCCGCAAGCTCCCCACAGCCCCTGGGGGCTCCCCTTTCTGTCTGTCTTTCAGCGTCAGCCTGAACTATCTGGACAGGGACACGTGAAGTCGCAGGTGGGTCCTCCCCACTCCTGACTTTGAACCAGACCCCCTTCTTTTTTTTTTTTTTTTAAGATTTTTATTTATTTGACACAGAGAGACACAGCGAGAGAGGGAACACAAGCAGGGGGAGCGGGAGAGGGAGAGGCAGGCTTCCCGCGGAGCAGGGAGCCCGATGCGGGGCTCGATCCCAGGACCCTGGGAGCATGACCCGAGCCGAAGGCAGACGCGTAACGACTGAGCCACCCAGGCGCCCCCAGACCCCCTTCTTTGAAGCCAGGCAGAGGGAAAACATCTCGACGGTAGCAATCAACTGTGGTTCAAGAGACAAAGTCAATCTGAGGGGTCGGATCTTAGGGTCTTGAATGAAAAGAGAACGGAATTGCAAGAAATGGGAACAGGTGTCCGAAGATGTGGACCAACCGTCTCAAGAAGGGGATGCCAAGGGGGGGAGCCAGAGTAGGAACAGTCGAGATGAAAACCACAAGGACAGACCCAGGGCGGGGTTAGATTCGACACGGCAGTCAGATCAGCTAACCTGGACGAAGACCCTAAGTTCTCCGGGACACGGGCGAGGAGCCAGGCATAGGATAAAATAACGGAGGAAGCAAGTCAATGTTTTGGCACATTTTTGAACTTCAGAGATAAACGGGCCTTCTGGCTTCCGCTCTGGAGGGAACGGTTCGAATAGCCCACAACACCCCTACCTTTCTTGAACCCATCTGAGGATGAGGTCACAGCGCAAACAACAAAAGACATCGAAGTAGAAACAGACCCCTCCCAGAGAGATGGGCTGCGAGCCTCATTCACCGGTGTCCCCTGCACAGGTGAGGACCTGCTGACGTGCAGGGCCCCCTCTCCTTGCAGGACATTGGCAGTGCGACCTCTGTGTCGGTGGGGCTGAGATGCCTGTCCCGCCCTCCAGGTCCCATTCAGTCCCTCTGCTCTGCCGCTCCCATCAGCAGCATCTATCCAGGGTGGGGCCGGGGACCCTGATTCCCTGAGACCCCTCTGGGGGGGCCTGTGTTCCCTCAGCTGGTGTGCTGGTCCCCATGCCTCCAAGGGCCTCAAAGAGCTTTCTGGAAATGGTAGCCTGGCAGCTTCAACTTCCCAGACCCAGCTGCTCCCCAGCCCAGTCCTGCTGAGGCTGCTTTGACCTGTGGCCTCGGGTGGGGTGCAGGGCTCCCCTGTCCAGCCAGGCCTCCCCCACTCCTAGCCCAGCTTCCTCACTTGAAAGCAGGGGACCCGAGGCCACCTTCACAGCGCAAAGCCCATATATGGGGACATTTACCCAAATTAATCCTGTGTAACCTCCTTCTGTGTCTGAGTGGGACACAGTAAGCCGGTCCTGCAGCCACGTAAATGTGCATTAATGTGACCCCACAGAGGGCTCTGAGGCTGGGCCGGTGTCACCCTAGTCCTGCCGGCATGGCCACAGAGAGACGGACAGGCCGGGGAGGCCGGGGGTCTGCCCTGCCTCTGGCCCTTGCCGGCTCTGCCGCGGGGGCCGAGTGGCTCCCTATCCAGGATCGTTTCCCCAGTCTGCAAAATAAGGGCAGGGACCACCTCCGAACAGCTCTTACCAGGGGCCCCTGATGAGCTCTGTGGGAACACATGTCCCTTGAAGCCACCTGCTGTGCCTATGCCCATAGGGACCTGGAAACCCGCCCCCCTTCCTAATCTCCCTCCCACCTCCCCGGCCCCAGGTCCCCACGGCCGCATGGCCCCACCTGCAGCCTCCGCTTCTCCCGGCCGGCTGCCCGCGTGCTCGCCAGGTACTCCAGCTCCAGCCTCTGGAGCGCCTCCTCCTGCAGGGCCCGCGCCGCCTGGGTGCTGCTCATCTCAGCCTCCGCCTGGCGCCAAGCTGTGGGGCGAGCAGAGGCTTGCCTGGCTCCCAAGCGCTGTGGGGCTGCCACGTGGGCGATTGCGCCCACCCATTTAACAGGACAGGAAACTGAGGCTTGGTGAGTTTAAGTGTCTGGCACCTGGATGGTGGGGGCTGGAGAGGCCTCCCTCTGACAATTCCCTGCTCCTCCTGTTTGAAGCTTGAGGATCCCTGGGGGCGGGTTTGGGTCCCTCTGCCTGCTTCTCCTTCTCTCCCACCTTCTTCCCTTCCACAGACATTCCTCCTTTGAGACTGTGCTAGGCCCTGGGCCCACCTCCCGGGCAGACCCACTAATGGGGGGAGGAGGGGTGACCAGCAGGGCAGGGGCGCTCTCTGAGGGGACAGGGGACAGAGACCTGATGGAGAGATGGGTCTCATGCCTGTGGGCGGGAGAGAGCTCCAGGGGGCCTGCACAGTCAGTGCAAAGGCCCTGAGGTAGGAACCGTAAGAGGCCGGTGTGGCAGGAGGGTCTGGGTCCCCGCAGGGTCTCTGGACTTTAGTCCCCTGTGACGGGGAAGCCACTGCCGAGAAAGCAGCCAGCCAGCTGCCACATGCCAGTTACCGCCCAGGGAGGCACACAGGTCTGGCGCTGCTCGTGGCCCAGGCCTGAGCACTTCCCAGGACCGCACACGCCTGGCAGCCAGGGGCGAGGCACCCGGGGAACCCCTGGGGAGGTGGCGGGGGCCCCTCACAGCGATCCTTGAGGGCAGGGTGAGGGAAGGGACGTCACCTTCCTCCGCGTCTGCCTGCGCCTTCTGTAGCTGCCCCACGCGGCTCTGGGCTTGGGCACGCTCGCTCTCTGCCTCACTCAGCCGGCTGCTCAGGCTTACCGCCTGGAAGTGCCAGTCGTCCTGGGCAGAAGGACCCAGGTCATGGGGCAGCCTGGGGGGCAATGCAGGGCCGAGGTGCCGGGCGGGAGGCGTGGGGGGCTCGGGTGCGCTGACCTGGACCCCAGTGTGTGTCATAGCGGCGCCCAGCGCCAGGGGCTCTGCCGCCCATTCGGAGGAAGAGAGGACCCCGAGCCCTTTGGGGCAGTCAAGCTTTGAGAGACCGTGGTATTTACTGCTATTTATCATGCCAAACAAAGGACAGTGTGAACACTGAGGAGCCCAGTGACCCACAGGGCCCCACCAGGGTCTCAGCAGACCTGGGATAGACAGACAGATGGACAGCAGAGTGATGAGCGGCTTCTCCCCGTTTCAGGAGCCCCCAGGGCATGTCCTCTCCATTCCCTTACCCGTTCCCTCCGGGCATCCCGCAGCTGCTGCACCAAGTCCCGCAGGGCGTCCCGCACAGAGTCCACGTCCACCTCCGGGCTGTGGTCCCCAGGTGCAGGTGAGGGCCATCGCAGTGGGGAGCGGGACCGGGCGGGGGGGCTGGCCCTCTGCCGCGGGGAGCGAGCCTGGAGGCCATCTGAGCCTGCAGGACGGTCGGTGCCAGCTGAGGGGACGGCGTGGGGACGTGGTGACAGCCCCCACCCACAGGGTCTTGGGGTGGGGCACGGGAGTCCGGGCCCCTCACCGTGTGGGTCGTGAGGCCCGGGGAAGGGGTGTGTGTCCTAGGTGGGTGCAGAGCTGGGGCAGGAGCGACCTGAAGCCATTGAGGACACTGACCTTTCCTGGGGAGGCTGGGCCGCTCAGGGAAACCTGAGGGGCTCTGTCCCCGGAGCCCCAGGCCATGGCACAGCGTGGACCACAGCTGGCTCAGCTGGCCCTCCGAATGCCGCCTGGCACCCTCAGCCTGAGCTAGCGTCTGCTCTAGGCTGTGGACCCGGCGGCAGGCCTCATCCAGGCGAGCCTGCAGGCCCTCAGCCGCCCCCCTGGCCCGCTGCAGCCTCCTGGGGGTGGTGCGAAGCTCAGCCCAGACGGTCTGCTCGGCCCCCTGGCTCTGGCAGAGACGCTCCTCCAGCCGCTGCTTCTGGGCCTCTGCTGCGGCCTCCACCTCCGCCAGTTTCTGCTGCAGGCTCAGGACCTGCGGGAGGGATGTGAAGTCCTCCCAGAGCCACCTGTCCCCTGGAGCCCTGACCCCGGGCCTCTGTCCACTCCTCAGGGAACCCCTCAGGCTCCCTCCTTGGCATGTCACAGCTAGGGGGACCTCAGGCCCGCCTCCCAGTCCGTATTTGGCAGTGGGGACCCCTGAGCTCAGGTGGGGAAGGACACACCAGGACTCTGGAGCACATCCTGGCAGACACGTGAAAACCCCAGGCCCGACGGAGCTGTGACCCTTGGCTGTCCCTGCCTGTGGCCTGCCACAGCTCCACCTTCAGCCAGCCCCATGCTTGTGGCCTGTGGTGGCATGGGCTGGGTCAGCCTCCTCCGGAGCCCAGGGCTGGGGAGCCTCAGGGTGCCTGACACAACACCACGGGCTCCTAAGGGCTGGCACAGTGGGTCAATCGAGGGCTGCCCAGCACATGGTCAGGGCCGTGGGGACACACACATGCAGGTGTGGGTGTAGGTGTGTGCTCTGAATCCTGAGGCTCTTTGAGAATTGGGCATTTCAGGGGCCGCTGACTGTCCCTCGACTCAGAACTCACGTCACCTGGGTGAGGCTGTCCCTTTCTAAAACATGAGAACCCTAGGAGACACAGGGGTCACCACTTTCACGGCGTTAGCTCAGTCGGAGGCCCTGTCCCTCCACCCTGGCTGCACCCAGCCCCGCTGGGGAGTGGGAGAGAAGACGAGCCGGTGGACCCACGGAGCACACATGGGCGAGAGCTGGGCCAGGTGGCCCTGGATCCCAGCCCCTGTGACAGTGCTGGTGCCTTCTCTGCAGGCCGCTCAGCCCTCCTACCTCCCTCAGGGTGCCCTCGTGGGCCACCTCCGCGGCCAACCTCTGCGCCTGCAGCCCCTCCCGCTGGCTCTGCTGCTGGGCGTCCTGAGCGCCCCGGACCTGCAGCTGGCTCACCTCTTGGCTCTTTCTCCGGTTCTCAGCCTCCAGCATGTTCACCTGTGAGTGTGGGGCGGTGCTGATGGGGTTGCCGGCACCCTCCTGGATCCCTGCCTCTGCTCACATGTCCTGGGGGGGAAGCCTTCCTTCGGGGCAGCGCCCACACTCAGGGTGTGGGGGTTGGGGATGCCCTCCGAGCCAGGACACCATGTGGGAAGGAGTGGGTTGGGAGTGGCATCAGGGGGGCTGCTCTGGGCTCCTCACCAGCCCTCACTCACAGGGACCCTGGTCCCACACACCTCTCTGTGCCTCCGTGGCCTCATGTGGAAAGGAAGGTACCAGAACCTTCCTCACAGGAGGGCTGGGGGTGGGGGGTAGAAGGAGGGAGGGGCAGGACATGCCTGGTCCAGAGGGAGCCCAGGGCATCTCATGAACCGCTCCCAGTCTGAGGACAGTCGACAGCTTGGAAAGGCCTCTGGCCTCCAGGGGTGTCTAGGCCCCTCCTCTGAGCTGACTCGGCCCCAGTGAACTCAGCTAAGTGGCTCTTAACTGTGGAAGCCGACGCCGATAGATGAGTTCTCAAGCCCAAGGTGGCCATGCGGGGAGGCGCGGCGGCCAGGGCCCTGGGGGCGCCCCAGCTGACGGCCAGGCCAGCCCTGGGCCACGAGAGCCCGGCTGCTGTGGGCCCACCCAGCCCTGCCCACAAGTCCCCCACCGTGGGGTCTTCTTGGCACGTCCCCTCTGTGCCCTGGCTGAATTCCTGATCTTGAGTCCACGAGGGTCAAAGTGGTTGTTCTTAGCCAGCAAGTTTGAGGCTGGTCATCTGTACGCCCTGGGGCACATCGAACCGGGAGCCCCATGGGTCGAAGCAGGGCCCTCCGGCTGGTGGCTTCCAAAGACACAGGCTGCAAGGCCATGTCCCAGAGCTCGGCTCCAGCCGGTGGGTGCCCGGGGCAGGGGAGAGAGCTGGGGCCTGGGTGTGTGGAATGGGGACACCCCTGTGGGGGCGGGGCTCCAGGACGGCTGCCCTCACCTGCCTGCCCAGCCCCTGGAGCTCCCGGTGGGCATCTGCCTGAGCCTGCTCCACCTCCCTCAGACTGGCCCGCAGCTCACAGGCCTCCTTCTGGGCCACAGCTCGCGCCTCCTCCAGGACCAGCACCTTCTGCTCCCCTTCTTCCTTGGACCTCTGAAAACTGAGCAGCATGTCACAGCTGGGGCTCTAGCCTCTCCCATGGAGACTTCCTGCCACCCACCTCACTCTGGCCAGATGCCTCCCCTGTGGCTCGGTCCTCCAGTGTCCCAAAGCCCAGCCCCCTGGGGCTGCTTCCCTCTCACCTTCCCGGTATCCGAGGTCTGCGCGCCCAGCGGGCTCTGCCCCTTTCCATGTCTCTGAACCCTCCCCCTGCCATGCTCCTCTCTCCGGCCACACACTCCCAGAGACCCAACGTCCAGCAGCAGCCCGGCGCCGCTGAGGGCTGCAGTTCTGGCCTTGCTGTCGTCCGGGCCCCGGACCAGGCCCCTCGGCCTCCGTCTGCTCCCCAGCCCTTGGCCGTCTCCTGCTGGCCACGTGGGACCTGTCTGGCCTCTCGGCTTTCCCCCCTCCCCCCACCGTGTGTCGGCATGTAGAGCCCTCAGACGGACAACTGGCACCCTGGGTCCGCTTAGTGAGTCCACCCCGCGCCGTCTGGCCCGTGTCAGAACGCCCCACATCCCACATCCTTTGTCCCCCGGATGAGCTTGGGGGCTGGGCCGGCTCCCTGACAGGTGCGCCAAGGGGCCCTGGTACCTGGCCTTCTCCTGCTCAGCCCTGCGGATCGCAGCCCGCAGCTCAGTGTTGGAGCGCCGCAGCACGTCCTTCTCACGGGCCTCATCACCCAGGGCCCTCTGGGCCTCCAGGGCCTCCCTGCGAAGCCCCTCACGGCTCTCCTCGCTGCCCTGCAGCTCCCGGCGCAGCACAGCCAGCCCTTCCCGGGCCTCGTCCAGCTGGGCCCGCAGCCTCTCCACCTGGGGGAGGAGCATGGGCCATATGGCCCACGGGGGGCAGGGGTCAGGGGCTGTGGATCAGGCTCTGGTCTGGCAGCACTGATGTACCCCCAGCCCTGTGTCCCCAAGTGCTTGAAGGAGAAGCAGATAACCTGGGTTTGCCCATCTGGGGGGTCACCTCTCCTAATGCCATGAGGCTGCAGGGTGGTTCACGAGGGCTGGTCCCGGAGCCCAGGGAGGTGACCCTCGGACTCTCCTGGCCCTGGTGTTGCCCCTTGCCCCCTCCCTGGACTCCGGGGATGCTGGTCACTGGTCAGCCCACACGTCTGCACTGTCCCCACCCAGGTCCAGTGGCCTCTGGTTGCTGGGCTGCCCCACCTGCTGTCCTCTTCAGCGATGGTGTGACAGTGGCCTGGGCTCCCGACTCCTGCGTGGCTGTGGGCACACCCACCCCTCGGTCCTCATTTCCCTATCTTATGGGATGCCAGGGGAAGGTGGGTCTCTGGGTGGTGGCCCTTAGAAGGCCCACTTGGGCCAGGTTGTCCAACCACTCGGGCAGCAGGTGCTCACTGTCGCATGAGTGCTCTGTGCAGAGTGCTCCACAGAAGCACGGACACCCTAAATCCAGGGGTGGGGGGCAGGGAGGGGCCCCAGGTGGGCAGGCTCTGGAGCCAGTGGGAACCATGCGCTGCACATCTGCCCTGGACTCAGGGCTCAGCCGCCCCGACTGTAGCCTCTGCAAGCGGACCCAGGGATTGGAAGAGGCTGTGGGTGTGACTCCTCGTCCCCTGTCCTTGCCAGACCTGTTCCAGGCCCAGAGGGGACACCCATCATGCTGTCGTCCCCACACCAGGACACTCCACACACTCTGGGGGCTTCTAGATAGGCCCTGCCGATTCTGCGCTTCTGTGTGAGGCCCAGGAGCTGAGCCCAGGGACAGAGCACGGGTGGGGTCAGGGGTCTTACTCATGCTGCCCTGGGACACAGGGTGCCTCGTGTCAGCACCACCCCCAACCCCTGGAGGGGGTCTGGAGGAGAGTGCAGACCCAGGGAGGGGCCAGCCCACCCTTCAGCACCCAGGCTACGGTCCAGGCTTGGCCAGGACCTCTGGTTTCCTGCCTCCCAGGCCTACGCTCCTGCCCTGAGCAGGGTACTCTAGAGAGTGCTCTGTGCGGGCCCGGCTGGACCTGAGGAGGGGGTGGAGGAGGCCAGCAGCGAGCAGAGCCGAGAGAGGGGAAGCCACAAAAATTCGGAGCAATGTCAAGGCTCTGGTTTGCCAGAAGCAAACCCCACTTTGCTGGCTGTTTCAGTGGGACATTGTCCAGGCCTCTGGCCAGCCTGGCTCCTGTGTCCACCCACTGTTATTGTTGTTCTGTTTTTGGGAAGGGCCTAAGCCCCTCCTCTGCTCCCCTTACACCCCCCACATGTGGGAGCCACAACCGTGTGGAGCAGTTTCCGCAGAGCTCAGCAAAAATCCACCAGGAAGGTCAAGGACCAGCAAAAGGCCCTATCCATCATAAAAGAAGCTGTTTTCATTTCCCAGGGCCGAGGAGATGAAAACAAGCAAAACAAAGCGGGAGAAAGGCCCCTCCCCCTGCACCCCCGCCTCCCTCATGAAAACAACCATCCTCCTTACAGGAATTTTACAGCCAAATCACTTAATGTGATTATAATAATTATTTCTTTACTAGAAATCGTATAAACAGTGTCTTTTGAAATCTCCTGCAGGGAGGTGGCTCCAGGACTGCACAGTCGGGAAAGCAGGGGAAGGGCTGTTACGGGGCTCTGGCCTGTGCGTGTGAGCACACACGTGTGCACTCTGTGTGCATGTGTGTACGCACGCAGCACGTGTGAGTGTGTGGTGTGTGCATCTGCACACGTGTGTGAACGTGCATGCCCAGTCCACAAGCGTGAGGTGTGTGCGTGTAAGCTGTGAAGTTGCATGAGCTGCTTGGTGCACGTTTATGCATGCTTCGCGGTGTCCATATGTGTTTCCCTGTGAGTGTTGTGTTCGCACATGAGGCCATGTGTGTGCATGCACGTGTGTGCCCGTGTGTGCACGGTGCCGTGTGTTCACGTGTGCGTGCGTGCACACCGTGTAGGGGCTTTGGGCAGGGCTGTGAGAAGCCTGGACCTTCCTTCAGTTTAAAGGCTGTGAAAACGTTATGGTTTCCATGGCAACGGGGCCAGCCTGGCGCCTGGGAGGCTCTTCAGCTCCCTGGCTTGTTCTGCCTGCCCCCTCGCCTCAGCCTCCTGCTCCCCCACTCCCTCTCCGGGGGCCCCTCCCCTCTCCGGGGGTCCCTCTCCTTTCCGGGGGCCCCCTCTCTGGGAACCTGAACTTCTCAGGAGGCCTGCGATTTCTTCTTTCACCTCGCCAGAACAAATGTGCCCCCAGTCTCCTGGCTCCTCCCCTGCAGCCCCTAGTTTTAAAATCTCATTTTGCTTCCCCGTGTGGTCGCTGACCGGGCCTGACTTTGAAATCTGTTGAAAGGAGACCTTTCTCTTTGGGGGCCAAAGTAAACAGCCTGTCATGTTAAATCATGCTCTCTCCCTCCCGCTCCCTCTACTGCGGGCCTGTCCCTGGGGGGCTGGGGGAGGGCTGAGGAGCCCCTTTCCTCTCTGCTGCTCCGTCTGGTGCTCCCTTGAGCTCCCGGGTCAGTGCGCTTGCTGCCTGTGGCCTTGGCTCCTAGCCCGGGGTGGGCACGAGGACCCCCCCCCCCCCCCCCCCACGGCCCCACCTGGGCGCTGGCTTACCCTCCCCCAGCCCAAATCCCTCTGCCCTCCTGCCCTCCCCTCTCCCAGGCTTCCCAGGTCCTGTCACAGCTCCCTCAGAAACACCTCCCCAGTCTGCTTGCCTGCCTTGCCCAGGACTGTCCCCACCGCAGGACACAGTCACGTGGCTCCTGGGGGCCCCGTGTTGACCTCGAGGCCTTGGCCAGGTCCATGCATGGTTGCCCCCCAAAACCCCACAAAGCCCCCACACGTCTGCCCCTCTACCCCGGGCATCCCCAGGATGGCTTCACCCCACCAGGTGCCCGGTCCCATGGGGGTCTCTACCTCATGCCGCCTGCAGGCAGAGCCCGGCCAGCGCCACCTCACCGAGGCTCTTCCCGGGGCTGGTAGGATGGAGGGGTCTCTGGGCTGAGGGTCCACCTTCCCCCTCCCTGCTCCCCGGGTCACACCTGCCTTTCAGGAAGGCTTTCTCTCCCCTTCTCCGGGGGCCTCTCCCCTCTCCCGGCATCCCTGCTCTAATGGAACTGCTTCTGCCCCTCCTGGCACCCCTCCCCCCCCCCCCCCCCCGACATCCCCTCACTTCTCTCCTGGCGTCGCTTCGCTCTGCCGCCATCTTCCGGAGACTCTCGCCCAAAGCCGAGGCCTCTCTCTGATGGGCTGAGATGGCGTCCTCAAACTGGGCCTGAAGGGCCTTCAGCTCCGTGGTCATGGCGCTGATGGTGGCCTGGAGGGAGCAGCAAACCGGCCATGGCACCCACGGGTGGCCCGAGGCTTAGGCAGCTGGTGGTCTGCTGAGGCCCACACGGGCAGCCAGACGCTGTCCTCGCTCGGGCCGTACCAGCTGGGCAGGGGCCGAGTGCGGCCTGGGCCTCCAGGTCAGGGTCTTCACGGTGACTGCTGTCAATGCCCCCAATGCCAGGGTCCCGGGGGACATGGTGTGGAAGCCCCAGAGGGGTTCCCCCACCGGGAGGGGCTGACCCTGCCACCCACGCCTTGCCTCTGGGGTCTCCAGGGCAGGGTGGGTGGCAGGTGCCAAGTCAGGGACTCAAGCACTGACCTTTCTCATCCCTAAAATGTTGCTATTGGGCCCATCCCGCTGAGGGGCCAAGAACAGCGATTTGGCAGCGAGAGGGCCCTCCCCTCAAGTGTCACAGACTGCGGAAGTCCTCGGGCTGGGCAGTATGCTCAGCGTGCGTGCCCCGGAGCTCGGGACTGGGCCTCCACCCTCGCTGGCTGGCCGGGCACGGAAGAAGTCCCCCAGGTCCCTGGCCCTGTGGCTGGGGCGTCCACTGCGTCTCTTCCCAGACGAAGGGCCTCTAGTCGCCCTCTCTGGGACCCTGCCCGTCAGCATAGGGCCAGAAAGGTGAACCCCAGCTCAGAAGATGTGGCAGTGGTGGGGAAGGGGGAGCCCTGTCCCTGAGTCCAGGTGAACACAGGGACCCCTCAGCCGAGCCCAAGGTTTCCTGAACTTTCACATAGGTGGGGGCCTTAGGGGACACCCACATCACTGCCAGCCTAAACGTGTGAGTACCTGCAGATGTGCCTGGAAAGGGGTCACGGGGCCACCCCCACAGAGACTACGCAGCCACGCTCAGGCGGCCCATTCATCCGGGACTCAGCTTGGCCCAAATCTGCCCTCCTGGGGCCACAGCACTCATGAGGCTCCTCTCTGGCACTCACTGGTGGGCACTCAGAGGAGGTGGGGGTCCTTTGGGCCCCAGGCTAGGCAGCAGTGCTCGAAGCTTTCCTTGTCCACCAGTAAGGACAACACCTGCTTACCTGGAGCCTGAGGCCAGCCCAGCTTCCTTGCCAGGATCCCCCTCCTCACCGCCACCCCCCGCCCCCGCGGGCCTGGCCCCAGAGCGGTCTGGGCCCCATGGTGGCGGTTTCCTCAGCAGGGCGGGGGATGGAGCTGGCTTCCTGTTCCAGGAGGCGCAGGTGCCCACGCTACTGGCCCTGGGCTGCGTCTCTAAGAGCCCTCTCCACTCCCACCCGCAGGGATTCGGGACTCTTGGCTGCTGCAGAGCGAGGGCGCTAGTGGGCTGGGCCTCCATCGGGATGTGTCTCCGGCTCTTGGGGAAGGAGCCTCACTGTGCCTCCCCTGCCCCAGCCCCTGCTGTCCTTCCCCACTGACAGGATCACCTTGGGTGGCCGGGTCTGGCTGTGTCCCCAGGATGGACCCTGCATGGTTGTGGGGGCCCCGCCGGGAAGCCCCTGGGAGGGTTGTGAGCGACAGGGCACTGCTCTGGAGCCCCTCCACCTGCCCGGGGTGTTTCTGATGGCACCCCACACCTGGCTTTCCTCAGATGCCATCTCTCCTCTCTCTCCCTCTTCAGTGGGTTTTAATTTCCACTTTCCACGCCAAGGTGGCAAAGGACACTTAACGAGCTCCCTGAAGTGTCCTGCTGGCTGGCACAATCCCAGGGACCCCCACTCCTCCCAGCTGTGCCCTTGGAAGGGCCACCCAGCCTCAGGGCGGGACAGAGCAGGGTGGGGGCTCCAGGGAGAGAGGCTCTTGGATAAGACTTCCCTGGGTGCCAGGAGCCCCCCGCAGGCAGCTCTGCTCACAGTGACCACATCAGGAAGCAGTGGGGCGGGGTGGAAGGTAAGGAGACACCCTGGTTGAGCCTCCCCCCCAGACACAGCAGTGGGCGCCCCGCTCGTGGGGCGGAGGCACAGGGCCCCAAGGTCACTGCCCCCACTCTGAGTCCTAGCAGCTGCTGCCTGTCCTGCCCCTGGACATGGGCTCCTGATGGAGTCTGGAGCCCCAGCTGACCCCAGCTGGTTGTCCAAGGCAGCCTCAGTGTGGCAGTGGGCCTATACCTATGGGGGGCTCTCCCGTCCCTCATCCCTCGGGGGTGCCTCTCTCCTGGCTCGGCCTGGGACTCTCTGTGGATGTCCTTCCCAGGGAGGGTCTGCCTTGGGCACAGTGCTGGCCTTTCCAGGTCGGGTTTCTCCTTTGGGAGAGTCTAATGAGCCAGCCCCAAAAGGCCTCACACACATTTCCTGCAGTTCCACTTTACCAAGTGCAGCTCAGGTGCACAAATAGGCAGGGCTGGGTGTCTGTGGGGCTGGCCAGGGCCCGGGTCTGGGTCTGCCCTTCTCTGCTGCTGGCTCACCTGTGGCCCCAGGCCCTCCTCTGTCGGCTCTTCCTGGACGAGTCTGCTGCTGGGGAGCAGGGACTGGCTCTCACAGCGCCCCCCCCCAGCTTTGGTTCATTGGGTTTTTCCTTCCCATTAAGACAGTGTTTCCTCCCAGCAGACTTGGACATTCCCTGGGGGAAATTCAGGCTCAGGGGGGCCAGGATAGAGGGGGCTGTGTCCCTGGGACCAGGTAGGAAGGTACATCTCGGGGTGGCCCTACTGGGTGCTCAGTGTCTTGCTTGGGCCCACAGGGCTCACCTCAGCTTGCTCATGCTGGCTCTGGGCCTTCTGCTGCACCTGTTCCAGCTCCTGCGTGGACTTGGAGAGCTCTTCCCTTAGCAGCCTCCCCTCTGCTTCTTTCAATGACAGGGCCTGGCGGGATTGGGGGGGTGGTGCTTGTGAGGATCAAGGGCCTCTTTAAGGAGAGGCTAAAGCCTTTGCCAGGACGTGGTGTGTTCCTGATTCCACACCCCTGCTTGGGGAGGAGTGTCACCCCAGAGGCAGCCCTTGTCCCGAGTGGGCTCGATGGGGCCTTTTCACTCTGTCTGACATGGCCCAACTTCCGTGCCTATGCTCAGTCAGCTCTCCACACACTGGCTGGCTGATCAGGTGGATGGATAGTCAGACACAGAGATGGATGGTGGCTATGGATGGACAGATGAGTGTGTGGATAGAAGGAAGGATGTTTAAGTGAACGGGTAGACAGATGGTCAAGAGAATGGTTAGATGGATGGTCATATGAATGTGTGGATAGATGGTTGGGTGTAAGGATAGTTGGATGTTTAAGCAATTTGATAGATAGATGTATGGTTAGGTGTGTGAATGGAAAATCAGGTATGTGGATAGATGGCCATGTATGTGGGACATCTGCTGGGTGTATAGATAGAAGGATGGCAAGTCAGGTGAATGGACAGATGATGGACAGATAAATGGAGGGACAGTCAAGCGCATGGATGGATAGATGGGTGGATGGATCGGTACATGGATGGGTGGGTGGGTGGTAGATGGATTGAGGGATGGATGGATGGATGGATGAGTGGATGGATGGATGGATGGATGAATTGGTGGACGAGTGGATGAGTGGATGGGTGGATGGATGAATATCTGTCCCCCAGAACTTCTGTGGAAAACCAAAGCTGCAATAGCAGTGACCTAGAAAGGCTGCCCTCACAGCCCGCTTGCTGGGTCAGAGAAGGCACGGTGAAGTGGATATGAGGGTCCCCTGCTGCCTCATAGTCCCCCATCACCTGTTTCATCTCATGTTCCAGTTGTAGGAGACTCTCATCCCTCTCATGCTTCAAGCTCTGGATTTCCTCCTTCAGAGCCTCCGTCTTGGCTACATTCTTTGCTACCAGCTTCTTCTCCTGTTCCAAACAGCGAGCTGCCGCTTCCTTCTCCTCTGTCAGAGACAGACTCAGCATCTCCTGGGCCAATGCAAAGGGATAGGCTGCGTAGGCTGCGTGGGTCGGGACACGTGAGACCAGCAGGTCCTCGGTGAGACCTGGTTCATGGTTCATCAGGGCACAGGATGGGTCCCCAGAGGTTGTCTACCCCAGTCAGCCATATGCCACTTGTCTTACACAGTGACACCAAGGCCAGAGCTGCGCCTCACCATCTGCCCTCCCACGTTTATGTAGTGGTTCATAAACCTCTCCTGAGCCTCCACATTCGTAAGATGTGTAATACGTCAAGCAAGGCCTGCAGGGAAAGCTCCCTCCAGCTACTGGCCCTCAGACTGCAGCCAGGTCAGCCTGCCCGAGGCCTGGCCTCTTCCACACACACGTTCCAGGCCCTGGATGGCTCAGGCTCACTTGAACTGGGAAGAGTCCTCCTCTGGCCTAGCCACAGCATGGCTGGGGCACCTCTGTCTCCTGGCTGGTTTCTTAGGCCCTCACCCCTAAGTGTCTGCTGCATTTGGGGACGTGGTGGACTCTGGGGAAGTGACCAGGCAACTGGGTGGCCCAACGGAAGCAGACCTTCTCCCTCTGGAGCCGAGCCAGGTCCTCGTGGTGGGCCAGCGCCTGGCTCTCCAGGGCCAGCTGCATCTCCCGCTCCTGCTGTACCACTTGCCGCTGAAGCCGCCCCACGTCCCACTGTAGCTTTGTCTCCTGGACCTCCCAGGTACTTTTCAGCTGCTGCATTTCCACTGTGAAGTGACAGGTGCCTTAGGGACTGGCCACGGGCCCCCACAGCATGGAACCCCTGTGGCCCTTACAAACTCCCTATGGAGTGCTGGGCCCATGGAGGGACAGCCCCCTGCTCTGAGGGGGCTGTCAGAGCCGGGGGGACAAAGCACTCCATGCCCCACTGCAGTGTGTGTGTCCTAAGTTCTTACCTTGTACTGGCTATGGCCAGGCCCCCCAAGGCAGGGCAGGCTGAACAGGGAGCACGGGGGCGGGGCAGGGAGCCAGCATGCTGATCCTGTGGCTGCAGCCCAGTTTTGCGCCTGGGCCCAGCACTGGAGGCAGGCGGGGCAGGTGCCCATCCCTCCCAGACAATAGTGGCAGGAGCCGTTCAGCCCCGTGAGCTCTCGGCCTGTGTTCGTGCCCCTTCGGGGGACTGGGGAGTGGGGGCAGCACATCTGGGGGTCGAGATCCACTGAAGGGGGAGAGGAGCAGAGAGAGCCCGCCCGAGAAGCACCTTGCAGGGCCTGCCGCGCGAGCTGCATGCTCTGGGCCTCTCCCTCCAGCTGTTCCTGCTGTGCCTGTAGCTGCCTCAGTAGCTGGTGGGTCTCAAAGAGGCTGCTCTCCAGAGAGTCCCTCTCAGCCCTGCAGAGAGTCATCAGACAGTGGGGCCCGTCACCCGGGCGGTCCTGCCGATGAGGGGTGGTGCAGAGAGCATTTGCTAGACAGTGGGACGGTGCCTGCCAAGGCCAGGCTCATAAATCAGAAGATAAACAGAATGAACATCTCATTCATTTTAAGTCTCTAAAACCAAAGTGGGTCCCGCACAAATTCATCTTTCAGATGGATTAAAGAGCTACATGAAACAAAACAAAGCAAACAGCAAATAAACAACTCAGAACTATAAAATCAGTAGAGGGGCGCCTGGGGGGCTCAGTCGGTTAAGCATCTGACTCTTGATTTCAGCTCAGGTCTTGATCTCAGGGTCGTGGGATGGAGGCCTGTGTTGGGCTCCATGCAGGGCGTGAAGCCTGCTTAAGCTTCTCTCTCTCCCTCTGCTTCTCCCCCTCTTTCCCCACCCCCGTGAGCACGCTCTCTCTCTCACTAAAAAAAAAGAAATAGTCGAGAAAAACACAGAATGGTATTTTAAAATCTGAAGTAAGACACAAAAACCAGAAGACAAAAATAGAGGCCAGCAGATCTACATACACTTAAAGGCTGGGGGATGGTTGGGCAGAGAAGACCGCCTAAACCAACTTAAAAGGCAAGGGACAGACTTGAAGAAAAAAATCCTGCACTAAAAAGATAAAGAATTAATATCCACCATATGGGAAGAGCTCCTGTCTATCAATGACAGAAACAGCTGATCCTACAGAAAAATGAAAAAAAAATGACTGTTATTCACAAAGAAAACACAAAGGGAGAATGAACATATAAAGCTTACTCAACCTTACTAGGGCTCAGGGAGATACAAATCACAACCATGAGGTGTTATTGACTCTACATCAGATTGACAAAACCTTAAACAAGGGCAATAGTCAACGTGGGCAAGGATGTGGGGACCATTTTCTTTGTGGAGAGGAGGCTGGGAAATTTCAAAATTTAAAGTGTGCTTATCTTCGAGCCCACAACCCCATTCCCATGTGTCAGTTCCCTAGAAATACCCAGGAACCAGCACCGCGTGTACAAGATGCTCACTGCAGCTTTACATAGGGTATTGATTGGACTTGGCTTCCATGCTGATAAACGGCAGCATGTTAGAAATGATGGTGCATCTAGTGAGTTGTTGCTGAGGACGAGGAAACTCTATTCTTTATTCTCTGAGCAAAAGGGCACATGCAGCCTGATTCCGTTGTGCAAAGCTGCCTCTGTGTCAGGAAGTACCTGGAAAGGTACAGCAGCATTCATCTCTGGAGAGGGTGATAAAGGGACTTGAAGTGGTTGTCAGCCGTCAACCAGCCAACCAGCGTGTCCTAACCGTTACTGGACTCTGCCCTGTGCTGGGTGGCTTAGGGTGAAGAAAGGAACTGGCCAAACAACACACATGCAAACACCACAAACACTCAAACAGAAATAGACAAACACACCAACAGCAAACACATAACCCCACCCAAGTCAGTGGGTCAGGGAGGGCGTGGGCCATGGGGGCCTTGCTGCCCTGACGGCCCCCCCACCGCGGCCCCCTGCACACTATTGCCACCTTTGTGGGGGGAGAAGGGAGGGCACATTGACAACTTCCAGGGCTCCCTGATGCCTGCAGAGCCCAGAAACTTCACTTCTCTGACATCCAGTCTCTGTCCTTATCAGCACCCGACTTGTTCCCCACTCCCCGCATTTGTGTGAGCACCCCCTCTGTGGGGAATGCTCTCCCCAACACCTTGAACCCACCTCCTCCCAGATATCAGCCTGGTCCCCTCTGGGAGAAGTGGTCTCTGCCGCTCAGACACCAGAATTTTCACCTCAAAGCCTGGGGATCTGAGGGTGTGTCCAGTCTGTCCTCCCATGGGAGCCCCGAGCACCTCAGCCTCCTGCAGCGGAGGCCCGGCATGACCAGCCAGGGTGCAGGCAGAGGGCAGGCAGGGAACCCACCCATCTCCCTGGCTGGTGAGGGGGCCAGCACCCTGCGAACTGAGAACGTGTCCCTGGTGCTGCAGCCTTGTCAGGGCCTGGCTGTGGGGGCTGCAGGACCTTGAACCCTGGGGTCCTCCATCACTGTTATATCTAGCCCACTGCGGGAGAAGCAAAGAGCTACAGCAGAACTTCTCGCACCTGCTCGTTGTCAACATTACCTTGGAGCTCATTAAAACTGCCGTGGTCAGACCCCCCAGCCCCACTGAGCCAGCCGGATAAACACACACTATGTGTGCTGGGGATCGTGTGTGCCAGGCATGTGTGGTTTGACGAGTCCCCGGCAGCCTTGTCAGCAGAAGCTCAGACTGCTCACTGTGAAGTGCTGTTTAACAAGCAGCTGGCTCTGTCTGGGGGCCACTGGGCTGCCAGGTGCAGAGGCCCTGGGCCCAGAGGTCAGGGCTGAGCCTGGAGAGAGGATCCTGGGCTGCTGAGGCCTCTGCCCAGCCTCTGCCGGTGACCTGGGCAGCAGATGTTGGCAGGTGACAGGGGCCTCTACCCCCCACCCTTCTGAGTACCTGTGGGGCTTGGGAGGGGGTAACGAGCAGGGACCCTCTGCTCCTGCTGACCCAGAGTAGCCTTCGTTAGGTTTTCTGTTCCAATTTCTCTGTCAGCTTTCATTTGCAGAAGGTTTGTCTGTGAGGATGTTTAAGGACCTGGGACTTGAAGGGTTCTCGTGACCCCCATATTCTGGAATTCCAGGAGGAAACCTTTCTAAAAAATACTTAGATGTTCTCAAGAGAGCCCACAAGTTTGGGGGCAGAAAGCGACCAGCTTTTGGATTTCCACAGAGACCTTGGGACCAGCTCAGCTCACTGGGCAATAGCACACAGGCACCCCACCCTTACCTCCAAGTGCCTATTTCATGTCTTCTGGAAGGGGGCCCCGAAGGTCTTTGAAGCTCACCCTGCCCTCAACTTCATGGTTCCCTGGGGCTGACACTGTCCCTGGCTTCAGGGATGGACCCATGACTCCAGCCTGCCAATCTGAGCCCTGCAACTCCCAGGACTGGTTCAGGGCCTTCAGATGGCTCACGATGGCCAATAGTAGCAGCTCTTGGGCTTTGTGGGGAGAAGGGCAGTATGTCCAATGGAGGAGGAGGTCTGGAGTGGCCACTGACCATTTGCCACCTCTCACCCTGAGCCTGCCTGAGAACAAAATCCCCTGAGTTAAGTAGAACTGAGCAGGGAGAGACAGGATTCTGACAGCACTGTGGGAGCGCCTGGATCCAGCATTGCCTGAAGCCATGTGTACCTGAACTTCTTAGATCCATGAGCAAGACATCCTATGCCTTCTTTCTGCTGGTCTGAACCAGGTTTCTGGTTCCTTGCAATCTGGCCAGTGTAGCCACCTTGCTCAGGGGCGCCATCCCAGGGCCCTCACTACATTCACTTCTAGATGTTCCTCCTATCCAGGCACTGTGTTTGCCCCTCACTCACAGCCTCTCTCCCACGTAGACAGAATTGCTTCACCCTACGGTCGCTGAGTAAGTGCCTGCCCCCTGCCACACTCCAGGCTCTTGCAGGGTGAGGCCATGTGGACACAACCTGCTGGTAGGGCCCCAGGTACCTGAGGTCAGCTGCCTCCTCAGCTGTGAGCTGGACCTGCCTCTCCAGGGTCTGCTGTTTGGCCAGCAGCTGGGTCTGCTCCTCAGACAAAGCCTCCTTCTCCTGCAGGGCCCTCTGCAGAGTGTCCATCTGGGCCTCCTTGTCCTGCAGGCTCTGGGCCAGCTGTTCTTCCAAGGCCTGTTTCTTGCATGTGACCTGGCGGGGGCGGGGAGGGACAGTCTGGCAGAGTGGGAGGGTGAGGGGCCTCTCAAGAGAAAAGAAGCAATTTTGTGCAGAATGACATGGAGGAAAAGATGGGGAGGAGAGTGAACAGAAGACAGATTGGACTTCAGAAGTACCCATGTGTGTTTCCCCAGCAGAGGGGCCTCCACTCCTGCAGCCGTGTTGGAGCAGTCCCTGAACCGAGCATTCCCAGGGAAGAGTCAGCCGCTAGTCTAAATGGGAACCTTGGCTGGCCCCAAGTGTCCAGGGGGCAGGAACTATGACACAGCAATGGCAGTGAGGACCAGACTGCTGTGGACAAACACTTCCATCAAGAACATCACAAGAATCTAGACAGAATGTGACCCGGGGATCTGTATGAGGCCTCAGAGAGGCAGTGGGGGCAAAAGGAGCCGAGGCCTAGAGGGGGGGACTCAGAGGAATGAGCCCACCACTTGGCATCTCTTCTCTCCTCAGAATTTGCTGACCTCGAAGTTTTGGCTGAGAAACTGAGAAGCTGAGGAGCGCTTCTGACAGTGCTACGGCCTCAGGGGAAAAAAACTCAAGTTCAGAACCATCATAGCAGAGGGGCCCTTACAAACACCCCGGCTTTTAGTTGCATTCACCACAGGGCTTCGCCCTGGCAGTGGGACCGAATCAGAAATAGATCATCCCTCATGAAAGCTGAAGCTCAGGTTTGAATCACTTCAACCAGGGACTATGGTGATCATTCACTGCCTGCCAGAACCCAAAGGAAGTCTTCTCTGGAAGAAGAATAGCGTCATCAAGGTCCTCAAGTTGTTCCTACAGTTTTTTTTACCTATGATACTTGGCATTTAATCAGCATTACCAGGCATATCAGGAGATAGGATCGTATGGCAAAAAACACACGTAAGGACATAAAATAAATACCGATGCCTCCCTGCCCTCTTGGATACTCAGGTATTGGAGTCATTGGACACAGAGTTTAAAATAGCTGTAATTCGACCTTTGAGAAGACGGACAGCAAGATGTAGAATTTCCCAACAGAACTAGAAACTAGAAACAATCTAATCTTAAAATAATCAAAATTCACAAATATATGGGTTCGATGCCAGCTTAGAAAGAAGAGAGGACTACTCATCTGGAAGACAGATGAAAGAATGTATTCAGACTGAGTCATGAAGAGAAAAAAAGGATGAAAAACACAGAAGAGAGGGTACCAGATACATGTGACGAGGTAAAAAGGCCCAACCGCGTATGATTGAAGTTGCAGTAGGAGAGGAGACGGACTGTCGGAACACATACTGCACAAGAATGTCCCAAATCCAGTAAAATCCATCGAGCTACAGATTTAAAATGAGCCATAATCCTCCAATAGGATAAATACAAAGAAAATGTCACAGAGACAGAGCATAGTGAAGTTTCTGATACCAAAGATAAAGAAATACACTTTTTAAAACCAGAGAGAAAAACACACGTTACCTTAAAATGAGCAACACTAAGACTGACATCTGATTTCCAAGCAGTGACAACGAAAGTCAGAAGACGGTAGGATGAATTCATCAAAATGCTAAAGGCAAATAATGGCTATCCTAGTATTCTACACCCTGTAAAAAAAATTCTTCACATGTCGAGACCAGAACTTTCCGCTTCTGATCATGGTGAAGGAGGTGGTTGAAGACCAACGCTCCCACTGCTGGAGCAGCTGGAAAATCTATGCAGCACACCTGCAACATAACTACCTGTATGAGGGCCCAACAGGTGCCAAAGCGGCCAAGACCCAAGGACACGTGGTTCCAGCCGAGCCAACACTCCACCAGAGATTTTCCTTGTGGTATCGGCCAGCTCCTAAGTACTGCAAGGCCCAGAGCCTTCACAGCCAAGCATAAGGCCTTAGCTAAAAGGCTGGGAACTCGACTTAGGGTCTCAGCAGGCTTATGAAGACTAGGGAGACCTAACCTGGAGTTCAAAGCTACCAAAGCAGCTGCGGTGTGAGAGGTGAAGAGATCAGAGGGGAGGGGAGACTCAGATTCTGTATTGTTTTTAAAAAAGGTACTGCTTTTAAAAAAAATATAACTCCAAAGAAGTATAGGGCCAAGGGACTATAATCTGAATGAGAAGTGGCAGCCGAGAATTTGAGAAGTTAGGTGGAACTTGGGGCAGAACTCTTAACAGAATTGGGAAAACAAAACCTGGAGGTAGGACCCACCAGAAGCTAGAGGCCCCGGTCAGCACCCAACACGTCCAGTGAGGGGCCCGGGAGAGCTGTGCTGTACCCTGGAGCACACCAGAAATAGGCTGCTCCTCATGGGAGACTGAAACCCACTTACAAACCAGCTTGAGCTCAGAGTGGCTAAAGGCGATCTGCCCCTGCTCTGATTTCCCAAAATCAAAAGCAAATTCCCTCTGGAAAAAGTTGATATCATTCAGAGTCTCAAATTATCTCTACAAAAACATAAAGTCTTATTCAACAAAATTATTATGCATATCAAGAGGCAAGACCACATGAATGAAAACCAAGAGATAAAAAGACAATAGAAAGAGAATGATTCAGGAATGCAGATGTTGGAGTTATCAGATAAAGGTTTGAAAAAGACTACAATTAATATGCTGTGAAGATAAAGCATTTGGCCAGATAACTGAAGTGTGTGTTTGTGTGTGTGTGTGCATTGTCAAAGTGACCATTTAAGGCAAAAATATGAATAATATATTGTACAGTTTATAACAGCACATGTAGAAATAAAATATATTGCAACAAGAGCACAAAGGATGGGATGGATAAATGTAATACATGTTGTGAAGGTCTTAAATTGTTTTTGAAGTAGTATAATATTTGAATATAAATTATGCATATCATAATTTTAGAGTAATTACTAAAATAATAAGGAAAAGAAGTGTAGCTGAGAAATACCAATAGAGAACATAAAGTGGAATACTACATAAATATGCCACTAACCCAAAATAAGATCAGAAACAAGGAATGTAAAAATGTGGTGGGTTTTCTTGAAGATTTTATTTATTTATTTGACAGAGAGAGACACAGCGAGAGAGGGAACACAAGCAGGGGGAGTGGGAGAGGGAGAAGCAGGGAGCCCGATCCGGGGCTCGATCCCACAACCCTGGGATCATGACCTGAGCCGAAGGCAGACGCTTAACGACTGAGCCACCCAGGCGCCCCATAAAAATGTGTTTTTAATGCGACAAATAGAAAACAAGTACTGAGATGGCAGAATAAAACCAAGCATATCAACGGTTACATTAAATGTAAATGGTACAAACACTCCAATTAACAAGTAGAGACTGTCAGAGTAAACATAAAAGCAAGACCCAACCATATGCTTTTTACACTCTAAATATATAGACACAGAAAAATTGAAAGTAAATCTATTGAAGGATATACAATGAAAACACTTGCCACGAGAAAGTTAGTGTGGTTCTATCAATACCAATAGATATCAAGGAAAAGAGTGTCACTGGAAAGAAGAGGGGACATTTTATGATGATGAGAAGTCCATGCATCATGAAGACTTAAAATACTAAATGTGTATGCACCTAATAATAGGAATTCAAAACATGAGGCAAAAATGGACAGGACTAAAGTTTGAAATAGACAATTCCACAATCACAGATAGGGATTTTAATGCCCTTCCAGCACCAATTGTTAGAACAGGCAGACAAACACATCCAGCCAAGTAAAACCAATACATAAAACAAGTAAAACAAACAAACAAAAAGCCAGTAAGGACATGGAAAATTTCAACCATGTTGGAACTGATATTTATAGACCTTACATCCACCCATAGCATTGTGCACACTCTTCTCACATGAGCACCTGTAAGCCATAAAACATGCCTTTAGATCCATTCCAATAGCATGGAGTAGGTTTTCTTTTTTTATTATTTTCTTTATTTTTTAAAGATTTTATTTATTTATTTGAGAGAGAGAGAGAGAGCAAGAGAGAGCACAATCGGGGTGAGTGGCAGAGGGAGAAGCAGACTCCCCACCGAGCAGGGAGCCCGATGCGGGGCTCCATCCCAGGATCCTGGGATCATGACCTGAGCTGAATCAGGCAGATGCTTCACCGACTGAGCCACCCAAGTGTCCCCTGGAGTATGTTTTCTGAGCACAATGGAATTATATTAAAAATGGGTAACAAATAGGTACTTAGACAATCCGTATGTTTGAAGTTAGGCAACGTACATCAATAACCCACAGGTCAGAAAAGAAGTCACACGGAGAATATGAGAAAATAGCTTGATCTGCGAGGTAATGAAAGTGCAATGAGCGAAGTCATCAGTGAACAGAACAGAGACATGAGGTGACAGGAGCCCCGAGGAGCCTACATGTTTAAGAAATTGAATTCATTATCAAAACTCTTCTCACAAGGGAAACTCCGGACTGAAATGACTTCACTAGTGAATTCTACCAACATTTAGGGAAGAAATAACATCCGTTAAAATGCTTTCAGGAAATAAGTAAATTTCCCAACTGATTTTATGAGGCCCTGGGTCCAAATCTGACAAAAACATGATGAGAAAAGTAGATCACAGACCACTAGTCTTCATGAATATAAATGCAAAAATCCTTCACAGAACATTGAATCCAAAAATATATAAAAAGGCTATTAACCTAGGACCAAGTAGGGTTTATCCTGGGTATGCAAGGTTGGTGTAACATTCAAAAAATAACCAACATAATTCAGCCCGTTAACAATAAGGAGAACAATGATGTGATCATCTTGATAAAGAAAAAACATTTAAAAGAATTCAAAACCCATCCATGATAAAAACGATGAGGACCCCTCTCAGAACACTAGGAATGAAAGGAACATCCTCAGTGTGATGAGGGGCAGCCGTGAAAGGCCCATCAATAACGTCGTACAGAAGCAAAATACTAAATTCCTTCCCGGGGTCGGGGGTAAGGATAAGCACTCTCACCGTCTTTACAACTTTGTTCCAAGGCTCCTTAACGAGTGCATCAAGAGAAGAAGACATAAGAGTCACCGAGATCAGAAAGAAAACTGTTGCTTTTCACGGAGGCCATGACTATGAACATGGAAAATCCTAGAGCTCACGAGTGAACTTGGCAAGGTCACGTGACTCCAAGTTCATAGATGAGACTGTACTTCTCTACACTAATAATGAACACTAGGAAAATAAAATTAAAACAGCAAGGCAATTCACAATATCAAATTTAAGAATCAATTTAATCAAACGGGTAAGACTTTTACACTGAGCACAAAACACAGCTGAGAGAATTAAGAGACATACCACAGCTTCACGGAGGGACACTGCAATGACGCTAAGGTGTCCAGACTTCTGAAATTGACCTATAAAGTCAACACAATGTCAATCGAGGTTCTAGCAAGCTTTTGGGGGTGGGGGGAATGACAGAAATTCACAAGCTGATTCTGAAATGTACATGGATATGTAAAAAATTTAGAACAGTCAAAACCATTTTGAGAAAGAAGAATAAAGCCGCGCCTGGGTGACTCAGTCAGTTAAGTGTCTGCCTTTGGCTTGGGTCATGATCTCGGGGTCCTGGGATCGAGCCCTGCGTCGAGCTCCCTGCTCAGCGGGGAGCCTGCTTCTCCCTCTACCCCTCACCCCAAGTGTGCTCTGTCTTGCTATCTCTCTCTCAAATAAATAAAATCTTAAAAAAAAAGAAAGAAAAAGAAGATTGGAGGACTCATGCTACTTAATTTCAAGACTTACTGAGAAGCTACAGTAACCAAGACAGTGTGGTTTTGGGGAAAGAATGAGCAGGTTGATTTGCACAGATCGACAATCTGATCTGTGCACATATATGCATATGTATGTTCAATTTACTTTCAACAAGTCGCTAAGGTAATTCAGGAGAGAAAGGACAGTCTTTAAAAATCGGTGCTGGGACAGCTGGACATTTGTATGAAAAATAACGGGCTTCAGTTTTACTTCACACAACACACCTGTGATTCACACATTTTGGGGGCATCAGAATAACCTGGAGGGCTCCTTAAAGTCCAGATTTCTGCCACCCATCCTGCAGTTTCTGATTCAGTAGGTTTTGAGCGGAGCATTTTGAGAACCTGCGTTTCTAACTAGTTCCCAGGGGCTGCTGATGCTGCTGGCCTAGGGAACACACTTTGAGAACCACTGCCATCCAGAAAAATCAACCTGCAATGATCACAGACCTATATGTAAGAGCTAGGTGAAAACACAGGAGGGTATTTGCTTGTCGTTGGGCTACACAAAAAATGTCTCAGACAGGATCTAGGAAATCCTAACCATACATTTTTTTAAACTTGGCAAATTGGATTTTACCAAAGTTAAAATTCTCTGTCCACCAAAAACAACAGGAAGAAAATATATAGGCAAGTCACAAAAGGGGAGTAAACTATTCCAAGTACATCTGTCTGACAAAGCCCTCGCGTTCAAGATACATGAAGAATTCCTAGATGTCCATAACCAAAATACAAACACCCAATAAAAGATTTGAACTGACACTTGACAAAATAAGGTATGTAAATTTCCAATGGGCTCATTAAAATGTGCTCAAGATCATTTGCTATCCAGGAAGTGCAAATTAAAACCACAACGGTGTATAACTTCACACACACAGAGGAACTAAAAAGTAAAAGTGGATGAGGTCAAATGTGGACCAGGCCAAGGAGCCACTGAAAGCTCCCTGGCTCCTGGTGGTATAGATAAACTAACATAATCACTTTGGAAAATCGCTTGCCAGTTTCTTATTAAATTCAGCGTACACCTACCAAATGGCCACGATTTCCCTCCCCATACACGGATGCGACTTGTACACCAGTGTCCAGGACCATCTTGTGCATAACAACCCAAACTGCAAAGAACCCAAATGTCCAGCAGCAAGGAAATGGGAAAGCGAATGTGGTTTATTTGTACACAGAATGTTACTATGCAGTCGAAAGCCCCGAGCTCTCGCTGCCCGTGGCAGGATGACGCCCACCGGCGGCACGCTGAGAGAGCGGGTGGGCACAAAATGGCCCCGACTCTCTGGCTCCGTTTACCAGAAGCTCTCGGACAGGTGAAGCCCGTGCGTGGGGGGCGCGTGGCACAGAGGCTGCCTGGGGGCGGGGCAGCCCGAGGCCCCGGGGAGACCGTCCCCGTCCCCATCGGTGCCGGCCACACGGTGCACGTAGTGGTCGCAACTCGTGGAACGGCAGGCTGGCTCCTGAGTGCAAATCACACTGCAGTGAAGGGAGGAGGACTCGGAGCTGAGTCCCAGAGCAGGGGGCCCCAACACCGCCGGGGGGGGGGGGAGACTGCGGGCGCAGGGCTCCACGTGGGGCAACAGGCCGGGACTGGAGGAAAGCGAAGTGGTCCAGTGCCACTCCCCACGGAGCCTGCCCTCCTCGGAAGGCCGGGGTCCAGGGAAGGTCGGAGAATGAACACATGAGCCAACGCGGGAACAGCGAGCGTGGAGGCGGTCCAGGGAGGTAAGCAATGGGACAAAGGAGGAAGCAGTGACGCGCCTGACCCCCGAGTGTGTGCAAGTCACGGGGCGGAGGCCTTCGATCCTCTGACGGGGGCTCTGGGACAGGCCCCACGTACTGTTCTCTGCTTATCCCTCCCCGCCCCGTCTCCTACCCCCCACCGCCGGGCGGCCAGTGTCACGGCGGGCTTTGAGCTGACCGTTGGTTGGCGGTTCAGCTTTGCCGGCAGACAGCACCGGTGCTGACGTCCTGAGCCAGCGTGACTTCTAAAGGTGACCCGTGGCCTTCCACACCCCGGAGAGACGGGGCGGCCCTGCTGGGTGGGAGTGGGAGCCAGGAGCCCTGCGGACACCTCACCTGGCCCACCTGCTCCTGCAGCTGGGCCCACTGCTGCTGGAACTGGGCCGCCTGCCCCTGCAGCTGCTTCTCCAGGTGCCCGCAGGCCTGGCGCAGGCCCCCGCGCGCCGTCCGCATGAGCTCCAGCTCCCGCGCCAGCGCCTTCTGCTGCTCCCGCAGCTGGTCCCGCTCCTGCTCCAGCTGCCAGCAGGGGGGCAGGGAGGCGTCGGGTCAGGCCCGTGCACCACGCGCCGTGCATCACGCCTGTGTGCCCTCAGTCCTGTGGGCTGAGCACCCCGCCCAGCCAGCGCAGGGCCTGGCAGGCTCCCTTATGCCTCCTCCCCCTGACCCCTGCAGTCTGGGCAGGAACGGAGAACGTGGAGGGGTGGGGTTGCCGGGTGGGTCTGGCTCTGAGAGCAGCCTGGGGACCAGCCTCACCTGCAGGACCAGGTGGCTCAGGTTGCGTTTGTCCTGAGCCAGCGCCTCCGTCAGGGCTGCCATCTTGGCCAGGGAGTCCCTCTGCTCCACCCCCTCCGACTTCAGCCGCGTCACGAGCAGTCCCAGGTCTGTGCTGCTGGACTCGGCCTAGGGCAGGGGGTACGGTGCGGTCACCCCGATGACACTTTGGGATCCACGCGCAGACCTTTCCCACAGGCGGAGAGCCATTGTGCCAGGGAGGGAGGGAGCTCTGGGCGGGGCAGGGTGGGGAGGCCTCTGAGGTGGACGCTGGCCCCCTGGGTCCTCAGGCTGCAGCCGGGAGAGGTGGCAGGGTAGCCGAGGGAGACCAAGGGGAAGCAGGTGTGGCCAGGGGCCAGGGAGGATAGGCCAGCGCCCACTGGCTGGGGACTCTGCGAATGGACTAAGGGCCCAGGAGGGTGAGGAGACAAGTGAGTGGGAGGGGGGCAGGCCAGAGCCCAGGGTGGGAGAGAGCGAGCGGGGAGGGCTACCCGGGCCAGGGCTCTGTGCAGACCCTCCCTCTCGCTGTCCAGGACGTCCCTCTGCAGCCGGGCCGAGTCCAGCGCCTCCTGGGCTGCCACCAGCTCCTTCTTGAGCCCCGAGACCTTCTCCTCCAGCTGTTCTAGGCGCCCTTGACTGAGGCTCAGAAACCAGAGGGCAGAGGGTGTGAGGTCACCTCAGGGCAAGAGGGGGCCACAATGGGCAGGGTGATGGCTCGCAACTCCCTCTGAGCCCAGGGAGCCCCAAAGGAGCATGGGTGGCCCTGCAGGGCCAGGAAGCTCATGAGCCCTGTTTCAGGGCTTGGGGGGGGGGGTGACGGTGGTGTTCCTGGTCCATACCCTGACAGCCCTGGGTGAGGAGTGTGTGTGCTCACACAGCTCACAGGGCCCACCTCTGCCCCTGGGGCGGGGAGTAGGCCTTGGGCCAGAGGTTGGAGCAGGGGTGTGGGGGCGGGGGTGACAGCCCAGGCTGGGGCATTCTGGAGAACCCTTCGCCCCTGCTGTCCCATCAAGCACCCCCACTCCCGGAGATGAGCCTGGTAAGGATGTGGTCCCGTGTGTGGCTGGGGACACGGAGGCTGAGAGGCGTGGCAGCCCGTCTGCCCAGCCCACCTGGTCTCCAGCTCCCTGCGGCCCCGCTCGCCCTGCGGCCCCGCTCTTCCTTCGGCTCTGCCCACAGTTTGTGACCTCCAGCCGTCTCAGAGGGCCGCCTTCCCCCTCATCCCCTCCGCCACAGTCTCCAGAGCCCTTTTCTCTCTGGGGACAGGGGCGTGGAGGTTGGGGCAGCCCGAGGACTGGGTCCCGGGAAGGGGAGCCGAGGGACACACCCTGGGTAGAGTCAGACCTCGGCCCAGTGCCGGGAGTGCAGGCAGGGCAAGGGGGGGGGGGGTGCCAGGCCAGGGGGCCACTCGGGGCAGCCTCCTGGGGAAGCATGGTGGGGGACAGGAGACACCCAGCCACCCCTGGCCTGGGCAGGCTGATCCCCTCCTGGACGGCTTCTGTGAGCCCTGAAAGCACTCAAGGGTCTTGCTCCTGGTGTGTCCTGTGCTTAGCCCTCTGGCACGCACAGGGCAAGCTCAGCTAGTCCTTGCAGAACTCAGCGGGAAGGACGGGACCCCTCCTCTGCCTGCACCCTGCTCAGCTCGCCCCGACAGGGACCCCGGGCCCTTGAGGTGTAGCACCCTTGTGCAAAGCCGTGCTCACGGGCTGACCCACTCCCGAGTCCTCTCTGCATGCCACCCCTCAGCCAGGAGTCCGGGCCTCAGTGGCTCCCCATCGGGTCCTGGCCCCTGGAGCACCCAGTCCTGAAGCCTCCCTTTCCCAAAGTCCTGTGGGATCCGGCCTCTCCGCCCCCAACGCTGAGGGGCCCACCCGAGCCGGCCCACCCGTCCCGGGCGCTGCAGCCTGCCCGCCCCCCCCCACCCCGCACTGCCCTCTGCTCTGTGGAGGGATGGACCCCACCAGCCTCACCCTGCTCGCTGAGCGGCTCTGCACTCCCCCACCTCTGCGCCTGTCAGCCCCTGGGAGGCCTCTCCCCCGCCACAGGAAGGCTTCGGCCCTCCAGGCAGCCTCCTCCATCCCTCCTCCATCCCTCTGTGCCATGTCCCACGCCAGGCTGAACTCCTCTGCCCGGGTTGTTCCCCGGGGGCCTCTCAAGGCAGGGTTGGGCTCATTTCTCCTCAGATCCCTGGTCTCAGCACCAAGGACACTGCCGGGTCACCCAGAGAAGGAGCCCCCCCGCCCCCAGGGGGGATGAGGGGAGGCAGCCTCCTTGCCTGCTCCCTCTCCTGGCCCCTTTGGGAAGCACCTGCTCCTCTAGCCAGAGCCTGCGGGCCCCCACGTCCCAGCCCAGGCACAGTATGGACTTGGGAAGCCCCTCCCAGCCCCTCACTCAGGACTGTGGGCCTCTGGAGGTTCCACGCTTCCCCACTCCCACCGACCCCAGGGCACTGAGGTGTGCACAGAAGCATCCAGAAAGCCTCAGGGCCGACTGCACCATAGGCTGCCAGACCCGCAGGACAGCGCAGGAGGGCTCTCAGGCCACCCCAGTGGATGTGGAGGGAAGGAGAACAGGATGGACAAGATGGACATCTGAAGGACGGACGGGACCCCTGGGAGGAGTCCTTGCAGTCGGGCGGCGGGCAGGAGCGGGGAGAGAGCGTGCGAGTGGAACCGGGCTGCACCTGGGGGATGCAGGCGGAGGGGGCAGGGCATAGGCTGAGCCTGGGCAGAGGCAGCCCAGGTGGGCCCAGGTGACGGCACGGAGACTCAGAGCAGGCAGGGGGCTGTGGGGCGGAGGGGGCGAAAGGAGGCCAAGGGGGGCGGCCTTGCCAGGAGCAGTTTCTGTCCTGGAGGTGGGCCCGCCCTCTCTCCTGCAGGCAGCGCCCCCGGGCTGGCGCTGCCTGGCCTGCCCCGCTCAGCCCTGCGGTCACCTTTGCAGGAGCTCACTGGTCGCCCTGCAGTGCTGCGCCTCCCGGCTCTGCGTCCGCAGCCTGCGCAAGAGGTCCTCGCGCTCCCGCACCTGCTCCCGCACCCGCTCCTGCAGGAGTCTCCTTGAGGCCTGCAGCTCCTGCTGGCTCTCGGACAGCTGCTCCCGGAGCCTGGCGGCCACGGCCTGAGAAGACTCCAGCTGCAGGCGCAGTTCCTGCCCGGGGCGGGGGTGCAGCGTGAGCCCCCTCTGGCTTAGGCGGGCCTTGGACCAGACTCCCCCAGCAGAGCTGCACTGCAGACCAGAGCCCCCTCCCTGGGGCTGCAGCTCACGGGGCGGGGGGGGGGGGGCCCGAAGACACACTGGCTGTGTCCAGACCCTTCCCCGGAGCCACCTCCTTCTCAAAGGCCCCTGGCTCCCCTCGGTGGCACCCCCGCCACCCTTCCTGTGACCCGTGGGGTATCTGGCCCTGGGTGAGCCACGGGCAGGCCGGGTAATGGCCCTCCGCACACAGCTTTGCCTCCGGTGCCCCGTGGCTGCCCACCTGCTCCCGCAGCTGCCACCTCTCAAAGGCTGTCTGCACGGCCTGCAGTGTGGGGTCCGGGGTGTCCGGGGAGCGGGCCCGCGGTGGGGACACACCCTGGTGAGGGGACGCAGAGCGCGTGGGCCTCCTCAGCGGGCCCCGGGCCTCCTCAGCTCCAGCGCTGCCACCCCACGCCAGCTCCGGGCCCCCGGCGTCTGCCCGGGCCACCTTCAGGGTACAGAGAGGAAGGGATGGAGGGAGAGAACTCAGGGCTGTGGCCAAGCAAGGCCCTTCCAGATCCTGTGGAGGGTCAGCCATCAGGATCCTAGCTCCTCTGCCGCGTTACCGCAGGAAGGACCCAGACGGCCTGCACCTCTGTGATGCTCTTCAGAACGTGCTGCAGGGACTCAGCTCCCTCCTCCGAGGTGTCCTCTAGCAGCTTCTGGGCAGATGCCTCAGCGGGGCCGGTGCCGAACTCCCACCCTGTGCCCGCCTCCCGCAGACCTGACGCTTCTCACAGCCCCACGCACCAGCTTCTGGACATGCATTCTGAGGGAAGAGATGGTTGCCTCCTTCTTCGAGTTTTGCTCTGTGAGCTTCTCCACCAGCAGCGCCTGCTCGGAGACCCTGGAGAAAAGGTGGGGGCCGGGAAAGGGTGTCGGAGCAGAGAACAAAGCCCAGAGTGCAGGGGTGCCCTGAAGATGCACGGGCTGTGTCCACACTCCCCCTGTGCTGTGGTCTACACCCTGGCATTGGCCGAGCGGGCCTTAGTCCCTTGCCTGGTCAGACACTTCTCTCCTGCTCTAGAACCTTCAGTGGCCCCCACTGTCTCTGGAGCAACATGCAGAATCAGAGTTCAGGCCACCACCCTGCCCCTGACTTGCTCTCCAGCATCATGGCCAGTGGCCCCTGAGGCCCTGCCCCTGTCCTTAGGGCCGTTGGTCCAGCTGCTTCCTCTGCCTAGAGCACCTCAGCCACTGAAATCTAACAACAAGTGATGTCATTGTCCCTTCCTTCCCAGGAGCCAGCTTCTTCTCAAAGACCCCTGGCTCCCCTCCGTGCACCTGGGTCTCCCTTCCTGAGGCCCCAGCATCTTTGGCGCAGGCCCTGGGGTGAAGCCCCTGCAGGCTGCATTGGGCCATCATGCTCCTTTGGGGCTGCTCTGGGGTTTGTTGGACTCAGCTGGCCCCCTGAGGGTAGGGCAGGTTTCTTCCCCTCAGCTTGCAGGTGTTTGTGGCCGAGTGACCCTAGGTTCTGTGGAATTGTGCGCCAGGGCCAGCAGGTTAGGCCTTCCCTGGGGCCCTGTCTCCCCACTGCCTGCTGAAGCTGCCCACTGGAGATTTCTGAGCCACCGACATGGTTCTGCGTCCAAAACCTCGTGTGCTTGCTCTGAGGCTCATTTGCACCAGGAGTAGACCTGGGCCCCTCCACCTGCCTCAGCTTCTTAAACGGGCTACCTCAAAGCAGGAGCCCACCTCTGGAGGGATGTGCTTCTAGGACGGAAAAGTCCACTTCTGGGACCCAGCTAGGAGGACGCAGTCCAAATGCATCCACTGCAGCGTCCCCTGAAACCCTCAAAGTTCGGGCGCTATAGCTTGGCCTCCAGGGGTTGGTTAGGGACTTGTGAGCCCACCTTGGGGACCATCCCTCTGCCACCAGGAGGGCCACCATGCACGTGAGCAGAGGGCTGGGAGGTCCAGCCTCCCGGCCTGCCTGCCGCCCGGCACCCACCTGGCCTGGAGCGCCACCTTCTCTGCGTCCCAGCGGCCCTGCAGCTGGAGCATCTCCCGCACCTTGTCCCGTAGCTGCCGCTCCAGCTGCACAGCCTGCAGGGCCTGCTGCTCCAGGGCACCGGCCCCGCTGCTGGCTGACAGACGCAGGTTGGAGTCAAGGTTCAGGCAGGCTGTTTGCAGGCGCCAGGCTGTCCTGGCCGCCTCCGCTCGCATGTCTGTGAGACCCCTGGAATACAAGGGCAGCACCCCAGCTTAGCCTCAGGACCGTCTGCGGGCTCCGGGCCCGAAGGCTGCGAGCGGCTGGGAGAGGCAGGGTCTGGTCACCTGGGCCCTGCTCTCTGCCCACAGCCAACCCCCTCCCCTGCCATCCTCAGAAGCCTCCAGCACATCCCAGCCGGGGAGGGGGAGCGGGGGCTGGCCAGGCTGACCAGGACAGGCTCTCTGCTTCCAGCACAACACTGAACCTCTGAGCCTCAGTCTCCTGCTATGCGAACGGGATCCTGACATGACATGTACCTCAAAGATCCCAGACCAGACCTGTGTGAGGTGCCAGAGGGATCCGAGGGGCCCTGAGGCTCTGCCCTGTGGATCCCCCGCTCTGCAGCATCCCCCTGACGGGCCTGCCCCGCTGCCTTCTCTCCCCTTGCACCCCTGCCTACCTTGCTCTGTCTGTTTGTGCTTCTCCCACATCGCTCGCCTTTCCTGTCCGTTCCTCCACACCCACGGGACCAACCCCATGCGCCCCGTGCCCTCACCTCTCTGTGGTCGCACGCAGCTCGGCCAGCTGTATGCGGAGTGCAGTGACCTGTCTCCACAGGAGGAGGAAGTCCTGGGGCCCCCCTGAGTGTGTGTGCTGGATCTGAAAGCAAGAGGCTTGAGTCTGCTTCCGGCATGGGAGGTGAGAGGAGCCCTGCAACCCCACTCACCCTCTCCACAGCCCTCTCCTCTGGATGCCAAGCTGGGTTGGCTCCCACGGCAGGCAGCAGACCCAGCACCACCTAAGTTCCTGCAGCCCCCTTTCCCATGGGCTTATCTTCCCAAATAATGCAAATTGCCTGCTTCCTAGGGAGCAGTGCTCACTCCCTTACCCCAAGGACCTGGGGAAGTGACCACATCCAGGTCCTGCCCAGAACCAGGACTGACCCAGCCTGGTCTCCCTGCAGCTCTCAGCAACTGTGCGCCCCCCACCCCCAGCCAGCACAGGGAGGGGGAGAGGCTTCCCTTCCTCCTCCAGCACCAAGAGAGCAGCTCTTACTCTAGGGGAGCCCCTAACATGTCCAGGTGTGGGGCTTGGTCCCTGAAGGTGCCAGGGACACAGACGCCTCTACCATTTGGAGCTCACAGAGGGGAAAGTGGAGAAGCCGCCCGCTGAGACAGGGCAGAGTGAACTGGGTAGTAATGGTGGAGCAGGAGACCACTGCAGGACTGTGGGGGAGGGACAGGGGACGGAGTTGGGGGCAGTAACGGGACGGGGCCATGTGTGGCCAGCAGTGTCGGCCTTTCAGGGAACTGAGCTGAAGCCCAGGGGTCCTGAGTCTCCACACCACCTTCCCAGGCCCTGCACTTGGCTGTGTCCTGAGTGCTGACCTCCCGCGACCCCAGCAGGCTCTCCGCGGGCCCAGCGCTGCCCCATACTCCCTCTGCCCTCCCTGCCTGTTCCAAGTGCCTCTCGAACGCTGCTTTTGGACAGCGTGCCTTCACTTCTGCTGGCTCTCAAGACCCACACACCCTCCCTCCTTCATAAAGCCTTTGCCGATCCCCTGTCCTGATCCCACATCTGAGGTCCCCCCTTGAGCCCAGAAACACGTCGCTGTAGGCCCCTGCGTGCCTGGGACCAGACTCCTCTGTACACTTGCACCGCTCTCCCCACCCGCATTGCGATCCTCAAAGAGCAGGGATTAGACCTGCCTCCTGGGGGAGCAGATGCCTGGCCTGGCCTGCCCAATAATTACAATGAAACTATGTTAGATTCCAGACTGCACAGCTTCCGGGATGCAAGGCTGGGCTGGCCAACGTGGGGAGGAACACCCAGGCCAGGAACCGGCGAGGTCAGGAACTCCAGAGGAATACACGCAACCTCTTGCCAAACAGCAACTTGCGCATGTTTCCTTGACCACAGGGGCTCAGGGGACTGAGAGAAAAACCTGGGGTCCATCCAAAGGGGGAGTCTGCCCACACTCATGAGTGAGGTCTCAAAGCTGCTCTCTAAGGGGCGCCAGATGTGCCTGACCAGAACCCCCACGTGCCCACATACACACGCATGCACACACCAGCCCTGCCTGCAGGACACTGTAAGGAGGTACCGTGGATGGAGTGCCTGTGTCCCCTAAAATTTGAATGTTGAAACCTAATCCCCAGTGGGATGGGATTTGGAGGTGGGGCCTTCAGCCTCCACCCTCGTGATGGAGTTAGCGCCCTCATAAAGGGGCCCTGGGGAGCTCGCTCACCCCCTCCACTATGTGTGCGTGTGTGCATGTGCGTGCGTGTGTGTGTGTGTGCATGTGCGTGTGTGCGTGTGTGCATGTGCGTGTGCATGTGTGTGGTTATAGTGAGAAGGAGCTGTCCAGGTGTGTATGTGTGTGTGTGTGCATGTGCGTGTGTG